TGTCCCTATAAATGTAGCTTTCCTCTCCCCAGTCGTCAGTCTTGTTGCTTTAATAAAGAAGTGTTACTAGAGAACTGTCTCCAGCATGTTATATCAGGAGAGCTGAAATCACAAACCCCACGTCACAACAACTGGCGACGAAGGTGGGATCCGGAATGCTGAGGAGCGGTTAAATGCAGCCCTGCCTCAGAGTCCGGATTGCAGCTAAGAACAAGACTCACTGGCCAGCTGAGAAGACGACCCTGCCACAGGACAATGGAGAGTCCAAGGGTATTGGAGCCCTTCCAGCCATCAGAGCCCGACACGTGGGAAGACTACGTTGAACGCTTCGAGTTCTTCGCAGAGGCTCAAGGGATCACCGATGCAAGCAAAAGAAGGGCCACATTCCTGAGCTACTGTGGGCCTGAGACCTTCAAGCTGGCCAAGGCATTGCTTGCTCCAGCGAAGCTAAGTGAGACATCTCTCAAAGATATTCTTGCCGGCCTGACAAGCCACTTGGCGCCTACTGAGACCAAGATGGCTCGGCGGATGGAGTTTCATAAGAGGCAGCAGCATGCTGGGGAGTCTGTATCTGCATTTCTGGCTGAACTGCGGAAGCTCGCTCAGCACTGCGACTTCCAAAATCTGGAAGAGACTCTCCTGGATCGGTTTATCGGTGGTCTGAGCAGCAAGAAGGCCAGAAGACGCATCGTGGCTAAAGAAGAGGTTACCCTTGCTTCAGCCTTGAAGGAGGCCACCGCCACGGAGAATTATGAAAGAGAGGAGCTTGATGCCAGTCGCAAGGCCCCTAAGCCACAGATAGAAGTTGCGCATGCCATGGACGAGCTAGAGGCTACTCCGAGCCAGAGCCCAGTCCGTGGGGTCGAGTCAGTGAGTCAGGCCTGCACAGTGCACAAAGATCACCGAGGCAGGTGCCCAGGTTGTGGCGGAAACCATGAGCGGAAGAGTTGTCGTTTCCGGGATGCTATGTGCCGGACGTGCGGGAAGACAGGTCACATCGCCAGGGTCTGTAGATCGGCGGCGTTGGGAGCGACAGGAGCACCTAGACCGGAGCATCGCAGACCGCCCGCAGCAACCCATTTTCTAAAGGACTGCCACTACGTTACGGAGATCAACGGGAGGGTCGTGCAGTTCCCAGCACAAGGCAAGGCACACGTCAAGGTGAAGATTGAGGGTCAGCAGTGCGACATGGAGGTGGACTCCGGATCTGGATTCACTATCGTGTCGGACCAGACCGCGAGGACATTCTTCCCCAGGGGTAAGTTGCCCCCTCTGGAACCCTTCCCGGCAACCTTGCAGTCATACTCAGCGGGCCGCATCCATGTTATGGGAATGTGTGCCGTGAGAGTACAGTTCCGGGACAAACAGGCTGTACTCAAACTGGTGATTGCGAAGGGCAGTCGCCCCAGTCTCCTGGGCACTGACTGGTTCCCCGCCCTAGGACTGAGTATATCAGGGCTTAATTCAATCCAAACCTGCCCTGAGATGAGCGAGGCATTATGCAAAGAATTTGCTGGTCTCTTTAATGGAAAACTGGGTTGTTATAAAGGGCCCCCAGTTGACTTTGAGTTGGACCCTGGGGTGGCCCCAATCCGACTCAAACCAAGGCGAGTGCCATTTGCACTGCAACCCAAGATCGAAGCAGAGCTGGAGAAATTGGTCAAGCAGGGAGTTCTCTCACCCGTGGACTCTGCTAAGTGGGAGACTCCAATCGTCACGCCCCTTAAAGCAAATGGGGAAGTCAGGATCTGTGCAGATTACAAATGTACTATCAATAAGGCACTCAGGGAAACTCATACCCCATTCCAGTCGTATCACATCTGTTGGCTAAACTGGCTGGGGGCAAGGTGTTCGCCAAAATTGACCTGGCACAAGCTTACCAACAGCTGCCAGTAACCCCACAATCAGCGGAAGCACAGACTATTGTCACACATAAAGGGGCGTTCAGAGTTAACAGATTACAATTTGGAGTTTGTGTGGCCCCAGGGATTTTTCAAGGGCTCATGGAACACCTGTTAAGAGGTCTGCGGGGGTCTTGCCATTTTTGATGACGTTTTGATTGCTGGAAAAGACCCACAGGAACTGGTTGCGCGTGTTCGTGCAGTGTTGCTCAAGTTCAAGGAGGTGGGGTTGCAACTGAAAAAGGCAGTTTTGGGGTGCCAACTGTGGATTTCTTGGGGTTTAAAATTGATGCATCAGGCATCCACCCCACAGATGCTAAGATTAAGGCCATCATCGAGGTGCCACGACCACAGAACAAGACGGAGTTGCAGTCATTCCTGGGACTTATTAACTTTTATCATTCGTTCTTACCCCAGAAAGCTCGGTAGCTGAACCATTACATAGACTGTTGCAGAAAAAGAATGTGTGGCGATGGGGGCAGGAGCAGCAGAAGGCTTTGACTCCTTGCGAGGAATGCTGAGTAGCAGGAGTGTCCTTGCTCATTATGACGAGTCAAAGCCTCTGGTCCTGGCATGTGATGCCTCTCAATACGGCCTGGGGCGGTGCTAAGTCATAGGGAACCGGATGGGTCGGAAAAGCCCATCTCTTTCTATTCCCGTACGTTGTCGCCCACGGAGCGCAACTATGCTCAAATTGACAAAGAGGCGCTTGCAATTGTGGCAGGAATCAAAAAGTTCCATGATTATGTGTACGGTCGCCATTTCTACATTGAAACGGACCACAAGCCACTGTTAGGGTTGTTCAACCCGAACAAACAAACGCCACAAATTCTCTCCCCCAGAATGTTACGTTGGTCTATATTCCTGAACGGGTTCCAGTACACCTTGACCCATGTGCCGGGGAAACGGTTGTGCCACGCGGATGCGCTGAGTCGATGCCCCTTCCTGGCGGGAGCACTGAGGATCCTGCTCCAGCGGAGCACATAATGATGCTGGAAACACTTCCGGGGGCTCCTGTAACGGCTCCTGATATAGCTGAGAAAACGAGGAAAGATGCTGTTCTCTCCCGTGTGCTCACTTGGGTGGGGAGGGGGTAGCCAGGTGGTCCGCATGAAGACAAATTCAGGCCTTATGCGACTAGGCAGCACGAGTTGTCCATGCATAAGGGTTGTCTCCTGTGGGGAGATAGGGTGATCATCCCAGCACCACTGAGAAACAGGGTTCTTGAGACGCTTCACATGGGACACCCGGGAATGGTCAGGATGAAGTCGCTAGCCCGATGTTATGTGTGGTGGCCTGGAATGGACCAGAACATAGAACAATGGGTACGAACATGCAAGGCATGCCAAGAGGTGCGGCCGGAAGTGGCCAGAGCACCAGTCCACTGGTGGGAGCAGTCCAGATCTCCCTGGAGCCGGCTGCACTTAGATTTTGCTGGGCCATTCCAAGGAAAGGTCTTTTTGGTTATCGTTGATGCATATTCCAAATGGTTAGAAGTGGCGATGGTCCCTAGCATGGCATCAGCTGCCGTCATCAAGGTGTTGAGGCAGCTGTTTGCAACCCACGGGTTACCTGAGACCATTGTATCAGATAATGGGGCAGCTTTTGTATCCCAAGAATTCAGGGCATTCTTGGCTGATAACTTCATAAGAGGGGTCACATCCGCGCCCTTTCACCCATCCTCCAATGGGCAGGCTGAGCGCATGGTAAGAACAGCCAAAGAATCCATTGCGCGCTTAATGGAGGGTAACTGGTCAGCTCGCATCGCGCGAATGTTATTTTTGCAGCATGCGACGCCGTGTACCGCAACGGGCAAGTCGCCAGCTGAGCTGCTCTTGGGTAGGAGACTGGTAACGGTGCTGGATTATGTCCACCCGGATAAAATGCCAAACCATAATTCAAGAGCAACCCCCCAGGCTGAGACTGACACAACAAGGTATCTCGCCCCTGAAGATCTGGTCTGGGTGAGGAACTATTCACGAGGTTCGCGGTGGGTGGCTGGTGTGGTCACCCGGGCTAGTGGACCTGTGTCCTATTATGTGACCTTGGAAAATGGGCAAGTGTGGAAGAGACATATAGATCAGCTGAGGCGCCGGGCGCTCAGCAGGGAGGAGCCAGATAATTCATCCCTGGCTAACGACGCAGAGCTGCAAGACCAGAGTGAAAATGGCACAGAGGTGCAATCACCAGGGGCTTTAACAAATGAACCAGGGTCTGCTAGTCCTCACGATGACGAGGTACAGATAGGGGACCCTGAGATGTCGGGGACTCCATCTGTTCCTGACGAAACCCCTAGAGCAGCCCCTCTACCACAGGTAACACCCAATTCAGAACCTGCAACACCTGTTGTCAGGAGATCAAGTAGAAGTTGTAGGCCCGCTCAGTACCTGAGAGATTACGTCTGCTGTGCTCACTAGGGGGGAAGGGGTGTTGTGTATTGAGTCAAAGGATTTTATATCTGTATTATTATTGTCTGTATTTGCATTAGGGTAAAGTAACTGCCTTTTGGTTCCAGAGGGTACAGCTACTATTGGTTCATTTAAGCTGCTGTATTTGGATCCTCTGTCTTATTGGTTCCCTCCAAAAGGCAGGACTGTGATTGCCTGATATTGTTCCCTCCAAAATGTATCCTTTCTTGCTAGTTCCCTGTCCCTATAAATGTAGCTTTCCTCTCCCCAGTCGTCAGTCTTGTTGCTTTAATAAAGAAGTGTTACTAGAGAACTGTCTCCAGCATGTTATATCAGGAGAGCTGAAATCACAAACCCCACGTCACAACAACTTGGTTCTAACTTTTCAGGATCCAGAGACCAGTGCAATGAAAGCACTGGAGATGATACAGGAGTATGGGCAGCTGGCTGGTTTTAAATTAAACAACAGCAAAACCAAAGTATTGGACAAAAATTTAGATGAAGATGAAAGAAAAACCCTTATAGAAAAAACAGGCGTAGCATTTACGAAGACGGTTAAATATTTGGGTGTGACCTTAAAAGCAAAGAATTTGAATCTCTATAAATATAATTATGAGAAAGTATGGAATGAAATAAAAAGAGACTTCGAGATTTGGTCAAATTTAAAATTCTCACTTATGGGTCGAATATCAGTGGTTAAGATGAATGTATTGCCGAAAATGCTGTTTTTGTTTCAAACTTTACCTATTATTGATAATGTCAAATGTTTTAAAGAATGGCAGAAGGCCCTGTCCAAATTTATCTGGCAAGGGAAAAAACGAGAATTAAATATTAATTACTTACGGATTTTTCTATTTTATGCTTTTTCTTTATTATTGTCAATTTTTTCTTATGTTTATGTACTGAAAATAATAATTATTATATATATATAAAAAAGAAAAATTGCCACACACAGGGAGAACAAGGACATAGTTTGAGTTTCAAATAATAGCATTAAAAAATGAAGAGGGGGAAAAATAATTAAAAAGGGAAAAGAAAGAGCAAAAAAATTACCTCCCATTTGAATCACTTATAAAAAGATAAAAAACAAAGAATAGTATTACTAAGAAGAAAAACAGTCAGTTAAAAATATTTTGCAGGTGTCCAAATAGAAAGAAATAGGCCTATCCATTTTCATTCATGTCAAAAAAAAATGCTTCAATCTTTGTCTGAGAATAAGAGGGACTTAAAACAGAGATGTCAGTTTTGAGAGTAACAACATTGCCTTTAAGAAGGACGTTTTATCATTAGGCGCTGCTAGGTTCTCCTGAATCAGCTTTAGAAGTTGAACCTGAGCCAATATCTCTTTGAGAACTTTTAAGAGTAGAGGCTTCGGCTGCAATTGCCCCCCCCCCCCCCAGGAGGCATCTCATTAAGGCAAGGCAAAATAAGCTAAGAACTTTCTCCTTTACCCATATATTATGATCAAAAAATGAAGTCTTCCAGAAATTATCCCACACCATGCTACTGCCATGGTAAGCTTGATAAGTAAGCTTCCTGTTTTTTCAATGGATTTCTTTTGGGGGGAAATTAACACAGGTAGCTCTCTTGTTGATTAGATTAAGCTATGCCTTGGAATTGCAGCGAATTCACAGCTGCATTTCATCTTTTTTCCAGAGCCACCATGGGCGTTTCTGGCACCCAGTTGCCATTGAAAGAATACAGCACACAATGGCTGTTCACAGTTGCGTGCCTGTGGAGGTGGAATGCAAAATGCAAAGACGTTCCAATCTCTGGCACTTCCAATTAGACCTCCTCACTACAGCCTAAAGACCTGCCCCTTTCCAACTCCTCACACAGAAGCACTTCCAGTGATTTTGCAACTCCCACTCACCCCGAAACAAAACAGACCTTAGGATCTGTGAGGAGGCTACAGTCCAGTAGTTCAGCACCATCCTCCTCCTCCATACACTTAGCCAATTCTCCTTTTGGCTTGGCAACAAATGCTGTAAAATTAATTACTGTATTTTTTGTTCTACAAGACTCACTTTCTCCCTCCTAAAAAGTAAGGGGAAATGTGTGTGCATCTTACAGAGCGAATGCAGGCTGCGCAGCTATCCCAGAAGCCAGAACAGCAAGAGGGATCACTTCTTTCACTGCGCAGCGATCCCTCTTGCTGTTCTGGCTTCTGAGATTCAGAATATTTTTTTTCTTGTTTTCCTCCTCCAAAAGCTAGGTGCATCTTGTGGTCTGGTGCGTCTTATAGAGCGAAAAATATGGTATCTGGTCTGTTAAACTCCAAATCCCTTTTGCCTGCCCTGAATGCCCTGCCTATCAATTAAACTGAGTAACCTATTTTAGCATGATGAAAGAAGTATTTCTATCCCCATAAAACCTCTTGCCGTATCGGTCCTCAGCTACCTTTTGTTCTAAACTAAAAAGCCACCTGGTAGTTTCGTTGGTTAGTGTGTGGTGCTGATAATGCCACGGTTGCAGGTTCAATCCCCATATGGGACAGTGGCATATTCCTGCGCTGCAGGGGGTTGGACTAGATGGTCCTCAGGGTCCCTTCCAGCTCTACAGTTCAACATGTTCTATTGTATCACCCCTATAGAAATGCTTATGGTAGATGCAGCAAATGGGGCCTGTAGTGCAAATCACAAGAGAATCCTGTTCACACACCCCACCAAATGTGATCTGCCATATATGATAGAATCATAGAAGTGTAGAATTGGAAGGGACCTCGAGGGTCCTAAATTCTGGACTAAAGTACAGTGGTGCCCCGCAAGACGAATGCCTCGCAAGACGGAAAACCCGCTAGACGAAAGGGTTTTCCGTTTTGGAGGTGCTTCGCAAAACGAATTTCCTATGTGCTTGCTTCGCAAGACGAAAATGTCTTGCGAGTTCCTGCGGGGTTTTTTTCCTTTTCCCTCCCTTTTCCCCAAGCCGCTAAACCGCTTATCAGCTGATGGCTAAGCCGCTTATCAGCTGATCTTTAAGCAGCTTAACAGCTGATGCTAAGCCGCTTATCAGCTGATCTTTAAGCCGCTTAACAGCTGATGCTAAGCCGCTTATCAGCTGATCTTTAAGCCGCTTAACAGCTGATGCTAAGCCGCTTATCAGCTGATCTTTAAGCCGCTTAACAGCTGATGCTAAGCCGCTTATCAGCTGATCTTTAAGCCGGCTAAGCCACTAATACTGTAGCGCTAAGCCGCTAAACCTCTAATGGGCTTGCTTCGCAAGACGAAAAAACCCGCAAGACGAAGAGACTCGCGGAACGGATTCTTTTCGTCTTGCGAGGCACCACTGTGTCAATGTCAGATGGCCATCCAAGCTCTGCTTAAAAACCTGCAGTGAAGGAGACCACAATCTCCCGAGGGAGACTGTTCCACTGTCAAACAGTTTCTACAGATCTTCCTAATGTTCAGTTGCAATCTCCTTTCTTGTAACTTGAATCCATTGGACTGAGCTCTACCCTCCAGAGCGGGAGGAAAACAAGCTTGCTCCATCTTCCATGTGATATCCCTTTCGGTATCTGAGGATGGCTATCATTATCTCCCGCCAGTCTCCTCTTTGCTGAACATACCCAACTCCCCCAATCGTTCCTCTTCTTGACCCTTGGTCATCGTGATTGCCCTCCTCTGCACACATTCCATCTTATCAATATCCTTCTTAAATAGCAGTGCCCAGAACTGGACAGAGTTTTTCAGGTGCAGTCTGACCACAGCAGTATAGATAGGACTATTACTTCCCTTGACCAGGACACTATAATTCTCTTGATGCAGCCTAGAACAGCATTAGCTATTAGCTAATGGGAAAGGGATTAAAAATAAAAAAGGGAACCCATACGAAGTCACTGTGGCACAGTACTCTGATCTTTTAAACAATACGCTGGACTGGCACAAAGGCAGGAAAGCGATAGGTAGGTCTTGCCTTGAAGCAGAGTGAGATTATCCACATGTCATCCACTGATCTCCCTGCCAAGCACAAGGGAGAACTGGCTCTGTTCAACCAAGTGGGGAATGCCATGGCAGGCTGCATGCCTACAGAGAATAAATGAACTCCCCACACATACACAAAGAGAAGGGGGGTGGGGAGAAAAGACAGATGCTTTGTGCATTTTATTCCTGGATAAAAACTTGTAATTTCTGTTGCAGATTACACTGCCCTCAAGAGCCTCTTTAGCAATCAGATTTTTAAACACTCTGAACTAAAACCGGGGTGGGGGGTGGGAAGAAAGGGAATAAAAAGGGGGGGGAGAACTATCAATAGCATCCCACAGATGTGAAGGATTCCCCAACCTCCCTTCTTTGCCCTGTTCTTTCGAAAAGCATGCAACACACAGACCACTCCACCAAAGTCTGCTGCATCAAAGCACCTTTGACTGGAGGACCAATGGCAAGTATTGGGAGTTGTGGCCAGGGAGAGGAGGGTGGAGAAAAATAGCAGGTCATATTTTTGGATGCATCAAGGAGGCAGCTTACATTCCAAAGGAGGGAGGCTGATAACAAAACATTATTCCAACCCAAGAGCCACCACACCTTATGAGCAGGACAGCTCAGCACCTCTTTCCAATGGCAAATGCTCTCAGGTAATCTCAGCCGCCCACTCCAACTCCACATCTTGACATCCCATAACCACTAAAGATAAAAGCAGGAAGGCAGCGTGATGCTCAAGTCCATCCAGGTTTGAGGCGCTGGAGTCACTGTGCAAAAGGACCACTCCTTTTTTCCTGCCTACTGGCATTTCCAAATCGTGTGCCTTTCTCATCACTATTGATGAGAAAAAGTCTTTTGAGTTGGTGTGAGCAGATAGTCCCTTCATATTTCACTTTTGGTCGGAAGGCAGGTGGGCGGGGGAGAAAAGAAATACAGCTTTTATATGATTTTAAAAGTGAGCTAATCCAACACAATTATTTGGGTTATCTAGAAGTTACACTTCGACCAGTTAGAGTAGGAGCCTCATTTTGGGGGCAACAGGGTGTGGGTGGAGAGGGAGGCAGGGGAGAAACATGTCTCAAAATGGCCGTTTTTCAAGAACTGGAATCATCCATGCACAAGGCAGTTTTTGAAGCATTTCAGAGGAAAACATAGAACGGGATGCAATGAACTGAAGGGGGGGGGGAGTTGTTGTTCCAGTTTTTAAATTCATGGACAGCTGTCGGAGGGCCTGACAATGACAATCCTCGAGAGGTCTGTGTTTTGATATCATGTCGCAGATTGGAGGGGCCTACGATGTTAGGAAGGCTGGGAGCCCAAGAGTCTCTCGATGGCAGCGTTGATGTCTCCCCCAGTGGCAATGAGCGCCTGAAGGTTTGCCTCACGGTTGATGAAGCCCATTGCATTGAGCTGCTCAAGCTGCTGCTGGAACCGGACCTCTGGACTCTGCGCCTGCCATGGGGGGGGGAGAGAGGAGGTGAACTGTACAGCAAGCACGGCTCAAGGCAGCTAGTATGGCACAGACCAAGCGGCCTACTCAAACCCCTCAACTGCAACCCCTGTCCTCATGCACCCATGGCTTCCAGCAGCCCTTTCACACCCAGAAGATCACTGTAGTCTGCGGGATACTCTCTCCTGCAACTAAGACAGTATGGCCATTCCTGGATTGCGATAGCTTGACCAGTTGTCCATGCATTGGTAACCTCATGGTTGGATTACTGCAACATGCTCTATGGAGGGGCTACCCTTGGGGTTTATCCAGAGGCTGCAGCTGGTGTAAACTCAGCAACTCGGTTGCATGTGCGGACAAACTAACACCAGCAAATAACACTTCACTTGTAGGCTTTGCCCTGGCTGCCCATTTGCCCCATTTGCTACCAGGCTAAGTTCAAGGTGCTGGTACTAACATACAAGTCCCTATACAGCTTGGGACCACGGCCCTTGAGATGGCACTTTGTTTTTTATACACCCAGTAGCAGAGTTGAGAGAGGCTGTGCCAGACAGGAATAGAAAGTGCTGGGCTCTGCGATGAAACATCAGAGTCATGTCTGCCTGAGACTGCACTGCACCCCAACCAAAAGGGGTCAATGGAAGAAAGGACGAAGACTCAGGACAGAAATGCACCACTACCTACTTGAGAATTTGCACCGGCCAGTAGCTGGATCATGTGCTGCATGAGCTGCTGGTGGGGGTTGCTGTCCCCAGCTGGAGAGGCACTAGCAGGTGTTGAAGCGGAGGAGATGGGGGTCTCGGGGATTGTGCTTCCTCCGGCAGAGGGTGGAGGGACGCGAGGGGCTCCAAAAGTCCCAAGGCTGCAAGATGAGACAGGGAGAAGCTACTTAGCGCAAGGCAGCAAATCCCTGAGGGAAGGAGGCCGACTTTAGGGACCTGAAGCAAGCCTTGTGCAGAGGTTGGCCACAATAAAAATCACAGAGAGTGCTGCAGCTACTGGAACAGGAGAGATATGGTTAAGTCTGCCACAGATTCTTGGTTGTAGCCAGTGTTCAAGAGTTGACCCATTAATGTTAACTGATGTGACTAATCTGGGCCTATTAATTTCTGGAGTCTACTCAAAAAAAGAACTGAAACCTTGGAAATCTACAAAAGCAGGAATTGCTGTTTCCAGTTTGCAACACTGGTTGCATTTCAGTCTCTGCTTAAAAAGAAAAAATCGATTGATTCTCTCAGGCTTTTGCTGGACACTGATAGCAATTGAGTTATTACAATGCCAGATTTGACTTAACCCTGGTTACTTTTGCATTCCATAAGCTAGGCTTAAATGCAATTTCCCCTTTTCTACACAGCCTTGTGATGTTAACATGAAAAGCAGTATAGAAAGTCTTAATAAGTAACGTAACAAAAAGCCAGAAACAGTATTGTCTTTACCCCACCGTATTACATCACACACAGAATTTCTAGGAACAGGCTTGCCACATATATTGTTGACACAAACATTATGCATCGTGTTGTTCCCAGGAAGCCTACAGGAAGGACTTCTATGTTGATCCTCAGTAGTTGAAAGAGGGAGGAGCAAGAACCTCCTGCTGCTTTGCTGCCCTTCTTCAGAGGCTGAACCCTGCAGTAGTGCCCCCAAGGCCTGAGTCAGCTCCTACATTACCTGGAAACCAGTCCCGGGGCCTCCGTTTGCAGCGTTTGGAGCCCCTGCTGGATCTGCAGCAGGGCCTGCATGGCACGAGGGTTGGTCAAGATCGAGAGAGAATCAGGGTTCTGCATCTGGGGGTGGGGGCGACAAAAATCACAAGTGAGCCACCAGTTTCAAGGAAACTGTGGATTGCTTCTCTTGGATGTCTTCTACTCTGGTCCTTTAGTCATAAAGAAAGCTTAAGATTTGGGATACAATTCAATCACATCTTCAACGCATTTAACTAGTGCAATTCCAACCTTGCATGGTTGAAGGCCAGCTGGTTGAAACTGCACAAATGAAATGCACACCAGTTTTTTCCGGTGTGAAAAAGCTCTCTGCCTTGTACACCAGGCAAGAAGGTCCTCTTGGCACACCAGCTCTGAAAGCCTGGAAATGGTCGCATGAGATCTCTGATAGGCCTGTGCTATCTTGCATCCCAGAGCCGGCGTGCTGAGCAGGCCTTGCTCAGTAAGCAAAGCAGAGAGCTCAAAAGTTCTATGCTTTTGCTTACAGCTCAAGGCCCACTCAGCTCACTGACTCCTGAAGGTGAGGGGTGCTTGTGTGGGGGACGTTCCAAGGGTTTGAGTAGATGCAGTTTACCCGTGTAAAATTTGACGGTACTGTATTGGCTGCAGGAAGGGTTTGGCACTACTGCCAGTACCGTGAAACTGCTAGATTGTCACTGAACGGCCATCACCGTGTTTCTCTAGCGGGGGTGCTTAACCCACAGCCCAAATCTGGCCTCCTTCCACACCTCCCCACACAATTTGTCTTGTTATTATTACTTTAACAGTTTTACTAATGGCTACCGCTGTGATTTGATTATGCCAAGGTTTTTATGCCCCCTCCACCATGGGTCAAATGCAGCCCTCAGCCTGAAAAAGATCAGCTGTCCTATAGATTACCATTGTTCACTTATAACGTAGCTCTTGGTAAAATTCAAAACAAGCAGTTTTTTAATGTTAACTGAGCTTTCAGATGAGAGCTTAGCGATTCCGTCTCATAGCTATTCTAAACAATCCTATACCTAAAATATGACTATTTTATTAAAATACGATGGTTTCCATCCTGCATTTTATTCAAATACTCAATTGCGTTTTTTGCCATCTGGTGATATTCAACCTTTGGGGGGTTTTCATTGGCACTGGGAAACCTCCTTTTTCATTTTTTGTCCAGTCACTGGATACACTGGATTTTAATATCAGTTCAACTGCCACCAACTGCCACCAAGGCATGCCACTCCCTGTGTCTGTCAACTGTAGTTATTGCAGACCCAAACACAGTGGTAGAGCACACGATTTGAATACAAAAGGTCCCAGATTCAATCTCTGGCATCTCAAATTAACAACAGATTATTATTATTATTATCATTATCAATATGAGGCACCCAAGGTGGCTCAAGATAGGATCAAAAAAATTTAAAAAAACAACCACCACAAATCAATAAATCTACAGATAAAATGGCAGCAACAACAAACTCTAACAGAGAATGTAAACTAAATAATAGAAAGGGAACCAGACAAAAAGTCAGGAATGGAAAGGCTGCCTTCAAACAAGTTTTGCTTTGTTTTTCAACTAACCACAGTTTCTTTTTATACTTGAGCCCAACTGAACTGTGGTTAGCCTTAAGTATGGCATGTTGAAAACTGAAGCAAAAACTTCCAATATCTAACACACGTGGCTGTGTCAAGAGTCGGAGTGGGGACCACACCAGCCCAATGCGGATGAACGTAATACTGAGTTTAGCATTCCATCCAAACCCCAACATCCAACTGGCCAAAGGGGTGCCTAGAAGAAAAAAAAAATATTATGATCCATCAGCAGGTAATGAGAAAGACCTTTCTCAGCCCAAAACAATGGTGAGCCAGTCCCAGGCAGATTAGACAATACTGATAGAGCAGGCCAAATATCTCTGCAGCTTCATAGGGCTGCCGCAAATAAATACTTTGAACAAGGACTCCCCAAATCCCCACAGCAGGGAGACTGCAGACCTGAAAATTATTATTGTGACATGATCACTAAAAGGGCCTGGTCAGTCCATTATGGATTTTTGTTTCTCAGCCTCTACACAAAGCTTCTTTGAAGTCCAGCCCTGAGTAAACTATTAATACCGAAATCAAGGACAACACTGTTTATGCCGCACCTGCTGTAGAAAGGCAGGTAGCTGGAGTCGCAGGTGCTCCTGAAGCGGGGGGTTGCCGGCGAAGAGGGGAACATTCACCATCATCTGCAAAGAAACGGAAGAGCAAAGGCAGCTCAGGAAGGCGGAAGTTGCTATTCCTAGCGCATGTCCCATGCAGCTAGGCAACAGCCGCATATTTGATGCCACCAAAAGCACACAGATATAGGACCTTTTCAGTCTATTCCTGCTCCCTTTTTGGAAGATTCAGGACAGATGACAGAAAGTCTTTCTTCATGCAGCACGTAGTTAATCTATGGAACTCGTTCCCCCAAGAGGCAGCGATTGCCACCAATTTACATGGCTTGAAAGGAGGATCAGACAAATTCATAGGAGGCTACTGATCCACAGGTGGAGGCAGCAATGCTTCTGGATACCAGTTGCTGGAAACCGAAGGAGGGGAGAGGGCTCCTGTGCTCAGGTCCTGCCTGCTGCTTTCCCACAGGCATCTAGTTGGCCACTTTGAGGGCCAGGATGCGGGCCACTGGACTGATCCAGCAGCAGGGCTCTTCTTCTGGTAGTTTTTAATTCCACATCTAGTAATCAATTCACATCAAGGGACCCATTCTGCAAACAGCACACACTGCAACTTGACTTGTAAAAAGCAAACGTGAAAGTGCAGGAGTCATGAGATTCTGCTGCAGATTTGTCAGTTACAGATATGAAATCGCTTTTGCTAAGGTAAGAGCGCTGCACTGCTAAACATCACACCAAAAGGAGGCTTCCTGGCTAACAGACCCCCCCTCCTTCACGTACTGGGCCCCATGAATGCAGATTGGGCTGTACTCACTTGTGCTGCAATGTCAGGGTACTGGCCTAGCGTCTGCAACATTGTACGCATGTAAGGGGCAGAGATCACGTTCTGCATGAGCTGGGGATTCTCTGAGATCTGCTGCAGAAGACCTTGCATCTCAGGGCTGCTGAACATTCCTGTAACAAAGGGGAGAGAGTTGAAAATTTAACAGCCAACAAACATGTAGCTCTGCCAACCTAGATGGGGCAAGATGCCTGAAGCTGCTTCCTGATCACACTCCAGAAACAAAACCAGGGATCTCAAAACAAAGTCCCAAAATTGGGTTAAGTTCATTGAATTAAAAGGTCACTGGAAGCCTAGCCAACCCCCTTTCTGATTTTAACCCTTTGGCAGAATTCTGTTGGCTTTTGGTTTTTTACTGCAGTCACATGGATGTCTTTTTAAAAAGTTTAATTTCAAAAAGGTATCTTTTTTTTACTGTAGCAATGAACAATATACGTAATGAGATCCCTGCTCTTTCCCCAACAGATACAAACCACTAAAACCCCCACGAAGCCTTTCCTAATTCAAAAAGTGTCATGACAGAGATAAACAGTTGTTTTGTGGGAATGATGGGCCAAATCAATGTACATTTTTTCACTTAATGCACATGCATGAAATACACAGAACGTGATTAACAAAACCTGATTTTCCCCTCCCTGTTGAGCCACCTATTGGATCCTTCCAGAAAAAAGGACCACCACAAGCTCAGAATACATCAATAACAGGTTAAGTATGTTAAAGAGTTAAACAGAATTGACTTAACCTATGTCAATTACTTAATACCAGTATGCCATTGCATTAGCTGGTAGAAAACAGTAACAAGACTTATTTACTTACTGTTTCTTTATCCCACCTTTGTCTCCAAGGCGCTCAATGTGGCGTACATGGTTCTCCTCCTCATTTCATCCCCACAACAGCCTTGTGAGGTAGGTTAGGTTGAGCAGCACTGACTCCCCATAGCCAAGTGGGGATTTGAACCCTGATCTCTCAGGTCCTAGTCCAACACTCCAACCACTATGCCAAATTGGCTCTCACTGGCTCAGCAACCAGATTTTGAGGTTGGGGGTGACAATGTTTTTTCCTTGTCACCCATGAGAGCCTCACACTAAAGTAAGAGGGTTTTTCCATTCAATTGAGCAATAATCCCGGTTCTTAAACTGTCCCCGTGGCAGAGTGGAAATGTCAACCGATTCTCATCTCTCCGGAACAGTCAAAAATCTTCAGGTTAAGCAACCACAGAACTACCACACTTCGAAATGAAGAGCAGTTCTGTAATCTAGAAAGGCCAGCTCTGAGTGCAAACGCGCAGCTGCCAGGATCACCTACTGCCCCTCGGACTCCACGCTAGCTATGTACGTACCAGATCCTAGGTTGGTTGCGTTGATCCCCAAAGGGTTGGAGACGGTGGGTGTGCTTTGGCTTGTCACCGAGCCGGTGCTCCCTTCGCCGCTTGGCGCCTGGCCTTGAGAGGCAGGCGTGGGGCTCCAAGGGTTGGGCAGCGGTTCTCGGTTTTCCGTCCGCAGGGGCTGTGAGTTTGAGGTGTCGGAACTCCCGGCCAAGGCAGAGAAGGGATTATTGCCAAACTAGACAGAGAAGATTTAGCTCAATGAGTGACTCTGCAAACTCTCAGACGAATTCTGCTTCTTGGGATTAGCAAGAAAATGAAATGAAGGTGTGCTGGGATTACAAAACAGAGCTTTGATTTAAACTGCAGGTTTCACCAAATAGGTGTTTACCATCTGCTACGTTATTTACTGTAAGCAGCCCTGAGTCTCTGACTCTATTCAGACAGCACACAAACCCCACTTAAGGAGCATACCTATGATTTGGTGTGACATCTGAACTGACAGACCATGGTTAAACCCGTCAAACAACATGGTTTAAACAAACTCTGGTTTGCAGACCAGCAACAGCTTGATGTGATCTTTGGAAGTGACAAACTATAGCTTTTGCCCTGTCACCACAGAAACAAAGAGAGAAAATGAAAACAACCATCACTAAAACTTGGATGCTTGCACACTTGTAACCACAGGGCTGTATCTTATCCTAGTCCTACTCAAAGCAGACTCATTGAAGTTTATGGATGTGACTAACTTAATTTTGAGGACTTGATTTGCATACTAATCTTTGAAAAGCACAAACAGTTTTTGCTATTCACCTCCTACACTGATCTTTGTACAAAAATCCCAGAGTGAATTACCTAATAAAACTCTTAAAGAATTTGGCAGGATTCATATCAAAACCGCAGAACATCAAAGTACTGCTGTGCTCATGAAGGCTAGGGAGGTAACCAGTCACAGACATTTATCAACTTGTCTGAGGAATTTGCAATAAACTTGGTGAATCTTGTGAAATCTTAATTAAATGAGTGTTTTGTTCTGCTTAGATAGGACAGTCAGACCTAGCCTACCTGTTCCCTGGCAGCACTGAACATGGGCTCCTGAATATCTGTGTACATCCGCCGCAGGGCATTGTACCCTCCAGGGATGCTCTCCAAATTGCTCAGGGCTCGGTCCTGGTTGCGCATCATCTCTTGCATCATGGCAGGGTTACGTGCCAACTCCATGGTCTGAGAAGAGAAGGGCAAACAGAAAACCATGAGCAGAAATATGACAAAAGGAGACAATAATGGTTTGGGCTCTGAACTATGGTTAGTGCAAACCATGGTTTGGTGCGATGCCTAAAACAAAGTTCAAAGACTGCCTCAAGCCACAAGCAGGGAAACAACAGCCCACCTGGCGCATAAGCTCAGGGTTGTTCAGCATGTGGCTAATCTCTGGGTTGCGCTCCATCAGCTGTTGCATCTGGGGGTTGGCCATGATCATCTGCCGCATGAAGTCTGGGTTGGACATCATGTTCTGGACCAGGGGGTTCTCCATGATCTGGGAGAGCATCTCTGGGTTGGACATCAGCTGCCGCTGCATCTGCTGCTGAAGCTCCATGAAGTTTGCAGAGCCCATCCCCAGGTGACCGAGTCCAGCAATGCCGCCAAAGCCAGCTGAGAGAAGTCAGAAAGAAAGGAAGCATGAATGAGAAAGGTCTGCCTGGGGCTGAATGGCTAAAACCTAAGGCCCATCTCCCTCTTGCTCCTTCTACTACCAACACAGAGCCATTGGTGTAGCCAAGGGGGGCAGGAGGGGCAGCTGCCCCCCCAAATCAATCAAAATCAGAGGTTCTCCCTCCCCCCCCAATAAAAGCCAACAAAAATCCTGGCTACACTCATGCACAGAGCTTACTGAAAAGGCAGGATGAGATATAACAACCACAGCTCTTGCTCTCTGGGATCTTGCTGTGCATCAGACCCAGCAGCTCAACAACCCTTAGAGGCAGGCTCAAAAGACCCATAAGGATAAGAGCATGGGTAGGCAAACTAAGGCCCGGGGGCTGGATCCGGCCCAATCGCCTTCTAAATCTGGGCCGTGGACGGTCTGGGAATCAGCGTGTTTTTACATGAGTAGAATGTGTCCTTTTATTTAAAATGCATCTCTGGGTTATTTGTGGGGCATAGGAATTCGTTCATTTCCCCCTGGAAAATATAGTCCAGCCCCCTACAAAGACTGAGGGACAGTGAACCAGCCCCCTACTGAAAAAGTTTGCTGACCCCTGGATACAAGTGTGAATAGACAAAGCTGGGGCTCCTGCAAGTGGCCAATTTTCACACGCATCATGTGATTAAGAAGGTTTTCCCTTCAGTATTTCTCTTAAGCTTTTAAAACTCAGGAGTCCACTTATAAACCCACTAATCCATCTGGAGCACACAAGCCACCCCATTTTTTTATTCTTCAGTTTTCTTTCTGTCATGTTTGCACTTTTGTTTGTTTTGTTAACAAATCAATAAAGCAGAACTGCCTGCCTTGAGATCCTCAGACCCTGGAACTCTGCTCTCACGCCTGCTGGAGTGGGAGCAAAGACCCAAAATGTCCCACTGGTGCCCAAGAAGACAGGAAAGCCAAAGGCTAACCCGAGCAGAAGAAACTCAGCAACGCTCACACAAGATGGAGGTGGCTCCGCCAGGGGTCCCATCTGCTGCCGGGCCTGGCGTGGCTCCCAATCCGCTGCTCCTCCGGCTGCTGCTCCCTACATCAGAGAGCGTGTTGCTGGATGTTGAAGGCTGAGGTGGGGCTGCAGGGGAAGCAGGGGCTGCCGAGGGAGTAGCAGCAGCAACAGAAGTAGCAGTAGCAGCAGCAGGAGGAGGGGAAGCAGCAGGCGCCACTGAAGGGTCTTGAGTCCTGCAAATAAAGGAAAGTGACAGGTGACGACACAACTGTTATGTGAACATATAGCTCTCCTTGAATTTAAAAGGAAGCTACTATCTCCCTACAAAGTACATTAGAGTAATTTAGTGAGTGTGCTCAGCAACTCTTAGAACCCTGAATTTTGCAATGGGGAAGCCCAAGCCACACACAGTTAGGTCTATGGCAGGTGGGGGTGGCTACTCTTCTTTCTCATCCTTAAAAAAAGCCATCAGTAAGGTAAAAACAGAAGAACCCACAGATAAAACAACAAAGGCCAATAAAAGGGCTCTTAACTACTATGAACTACTACTACTACACACACACTCCAGTAGCCACCCAGCTAACCACCAAATGCAGGGGCATCCAGAGGAATGAAGATCTTATTCAGTGGGCAGCTTCACAAGGGAGACAGCAGGATACATAGGTCCTGAAATAGGAGAACATGTAATTTACTTTTGAAAGTACTTCTGGCTGACACCACCATAGCATTCCATGTTTTCCCCTGGATATTTATGTTTGTTATTTAAATCTGCTTGTCATCTACTAAAGCCACACTACGTTGTTCTCTTTTACTATGAATTCAATATGGTGTTTTATCTGTGTTTTGCATATTTCAGTTTGTATATAAACAAAGAGGCAAAGAGGAGCTATTTATTCAGAAGGATTTGAACCAGTCTTTTGAGGGGTGTGGGGAAGCTGTCACTTACTAAGTGGCATATCTGCAATATAAACTAAAGCTGACTGAATGGGCCTGCTTTTCAGAGGGAAGCTCTTACTTCTGTGGAGTTTTGATCACCAGATGCACCGTCAGTCCATCTTTGATCCCGTGCTGATTCAAGGTATCCCCGTCTTTCAGAATCTTCCCGGCAAAGATCAGAACCAGCTGATCCTGTTTGGCTTTAAACCGGCGGGAAATCTCTTCTTTAAACTGGAAAAAAGACATTTTAGAAGGTTAGGCTTTCCACAGACATTCTTGCTGTGGTCAAGAAGGCAAAGCGGTAGCAACCCTTATCCCCTGCTGGTCTATTTAGTCTTCCTGCCTCCTGGCTTCACCTTACCAAACACTGTTTCTTCATCCACACAGCACTCTGTCTGCTTTCTCCGCCCTTTCCCTTTTCATCCTAACCTGACCTCCACCTACATCCAGGCAGATTCCTGTGATGCAGGAGCTCCACAGGTCAAGTCTCACCCCCGCTATGAACACATAAAGCTCCTCTAGTTACTCGGTCTCTTAGCCCCCCTCCCACCCTGCAATATGGGGAAACTAATACTGCCCTTCCCATCAGGATTATGTGAAAAGCTTCAAACATTCAGCGAAGTTATTACATAAATCAGCATTGTCCAACCAGGTATCCTGCAGATGTCTGCAGTACAAAACATTCGGAGGGCACCAGAATGTTTTTATTACTCTCTGCCACCGCCCCTCCAAGCCCCAGAGAAGGCTTCAACTCATTCAAAATTTCCCCCTCTTTCAATGCATCATACACCCCAGAGAGATCTGCAACAAACTCCTGGATCCACTCAGCTGTTGTCTATCTTCCCCACAAGGTGGCACTCTCATCTTCATTTCTTCTCTTTCTCCCCTCATTATCCCACCTCAACCACTCCAGATTGTTCACATTCTCTTCTCCAGGCTTTACCCATTCTTCCTTTCCCCATTCTCTCCCCTCTCAGACAACTCCTCAAGCCTGATCTGCTTCATCACTATTTCTCCCTCTATGTTGCAGGAAAGAAAAGTCCGCTTGCTTCCTTGCCCAAACACTTTGCCTTGCCCAACCCACCCTCATTTCCTTTCACTCTGATCGACCCCATTCACCACCACCCAAAACCTGGGTGCTTATGTTTTATCTCTGCTCCTCTTCCACCTGCTTCTCTTCAGGAACCCATTCCACCGCCTTGTCCTGAGCCCGGCATGTCTTGGCGGAGGAAGCGGGGAGGAAACGGGAGTCTCTGGCTTCCTTTGCCCGGCGAGGCCAGGGGGCGTCCCGAACCCACTCCTCGCGCTAAGCTTCCCTGCGACCCTCCTGCCCTGTAGATGGTGCAGCTGAGGATGCTGTTCCGCGCGCGAAGCATCCTTGTATGCAGGCAGCCCCAAGCGGCTCCTTCCCCAAATCCCACCCATCGGCGCCTTTTCTGTTGCGGGGGCGACCGCGGACCCTCCCCCAAAACAGCCCACCCCTCACTTCAGCTCCGGGAGGGGTGGGTGGGCGCTCCACCACGTGACTCCGTGCCGCGCGGGCTGAGAGGTGGGGGGTGCCCTCCCCCCAATCCTTCCAGCGCCTCAGAGCCCGCCTCGCCCCTTTGTTCCTCGCCGCCGCCGGACAGTAACGAAAAGGGGAAGGAGGCGGGGCAGACAACGACACTCCCCGCCGCCTCCCGCAGATTCCCTGACCTCCGCCCGCAGAGGCTGAGGGGTCCCGGCGAGAGCTTCCCCGCCCCCGGCTGACCTCCTTGACGGAGACGCGCTCGCCGGTGAGGATCTCCTCCTTGTCTTTCGGGGTCTTCACCGTCACGCGGATGAGGAGCCCCCCCGGGCCCGACTCGGGGCCGCTGCCCCCGCCTTCTCCGCTGTCGCCGCCGCCTCCGCCGCCACCGGCCGAGCCGGGCCCGCCACCGCTCAGCTCCGCCATCTTGGCCGACCGCCCACCTGCCACCGAGGAGGTAGGGCCAGAGAGGCGCCGCTGCCTGCTGCTACCATAGAGACGCGGAAGCCATCATTTCCGGTTACTTTAAGAGCACTTCCGGCGAAGCAAATTTTTTCCCCAAACTCGACTCAGGATTCGGATTGAAGAGCCGTACAAAATACGGGTAGGAACTCGGCGCCTTCGTGGGAAAGGCCGCCGCCGCCATTCTGCGGTTCTCTCACAGATTTTGTGGACGATCGGACGCGGCGCCGCATTTGCCATCTTCGTGGTGGAAACGGCCCTCCCTAGTGTCACCGGAAGTGCGCGATAGAGAAACCGCTCTTCACGTTCGTGGGCTAACAGAGATAGGAAAAGTTGAGAGTCACACACAGGCGGCCACTTTTGGGTTTTTAAAGGGATCTCTGGCCTTGGCTGTTATTCTCCGCTCAGAGCGAAGAGAGAATTCAGCAGGAGGAGACGAGAGAGGGCGGATAGAGCGGCCCTCCGCAACGTACCTCCTAGGGACAAGTTGCTGAAGCCTTTCCACCGGGGACGGGGGGGGGACCGGAAGTGATGTTGAGATGGGGAAGACTACAATTCCCAACATGCCCCGGAGTTATTTCCTTGTTGGGTCAGCTGATGCGAGGCTTCGCCCTGCTTTGCGAGGGGAGCGTCTGGCTGGAAGGTTGTGATGCTGCGCCCAAAGGCCCTCACGCAGGTGCTAAGCCAGGCGAACACGGGAGGAGTCCAGAGCACCCTGTGAGTACTTGGGCAAGCAGAGCTGGTGGGGCTTACTCGCGAGTCGCAAGGGTTGCACTGCAACTTATGGAACTCACCGCTTCAAGGTGTATTTGGCTAGCTTTAATAATAATAACCACTTAGAGGGAATCTAGGAGGGGAGCTTTATATTGCTGCACGTAATGAAGCATTTGAAAAGGCTAGCAAAAGCAGAATAAAGGTAAAGGGACCCCTGACCATTAGGTCCAGTCGTGACCGACTCTGGGGTTGCATGCTCATCTCGCTCTATCGGCTGAGGGAGCAGGTGTTTGTCCGCAGACAGCTTCCAGGTCATGTGGCCAGCATGACTAAGCCGCTTCTGGCGAACCAGAGCAGCACACGGAAACGCCGTTTACCTTCCCGCTAGAGCAGTACCTATTTATCTACTTGCACTTTGACGTGCTTTTGAACTACTAGATTGGCAGGAGCAGGGACCGAACAACAGGAACTCACCCCATTGCGGGGATTTGACCTGCTGACCTTCTGATCAGCAAGTCCTAGGCTCTGTGGTTTAACCCACAGCGCCACCCGCGTCCCTTACAAAAGCAGAATACAGTACTCTAAAACGCATGAAGCTTTTAGCATGCCATTTGAGGGTATCGTTTATCCCAAACGAAGATTGAGACTGATCCATGCAAACACCAGTACAATTCCAGCTGCCGTATTCATTTCAGCCTTGTAGTCTTTTCTTCAGTAGCATAAATGTTGTAAATCATGGTTTAACTACTCTAGAACTTCAGGCTTGAATTGGTCAAGAGAGTGTGTTTTCTGTCTCTTTCTGTGTGTGCAGCTGTGCATATATAATTTTATATAGCATTTCGGTTCCTTTTGTTAGCAAATCATACTTGCAGTGTGTTTATGTGTGTGTACTGGACTGCTACACTTCAGGCTGCAGAGGCTGAATTAAAGCAGTACGTTGCAAATAGTTAGGTGCAGGTCTGTAAACATGACTGTGCAAAATGTCAGTTGCGCATGCTGTTTTAATTTGCTGCATGGACATTACCCTCCTATGAGCGCCCATCAGGTTACAAATAAAAGTATCTGTTAATCTCTTTCAAAATCACTTTTAGACATAGACACAATTCTCTAGGACTATTTAATTCTCTTTGCTGTTCCTCTTTAGCCTTCTGAACAATGAGGGCTCTCTCCTTGCATATTCTGGTTACGGAGACACAGATGCCAGAGTCACAGCTGCCATCGCCAGCAATATCTGGGTGGCTTATGACAAGAACGGGCACCAAGCGTTCAATGAGGATAACTTGAAGTTCATCCTAATGGACTGTATGGTACGTATCATGAGGTGTTGAATATCCTGGCAACCTCTGCTGCTGCTGGTTCACTGGGATACCTCGGTCACTGGGAACATTCATTTCAGGGATAGAACAAAACCTCAAATCCCCAGGTATGGCTGGAGGCACACCTTTGTGGCAGCACATTTTTTCATGCATGATGAAATGGCACATCTGGAAATCTTTGAGGAGCGATATTGGAAGGATGGAACAGGGTGGTTGTGGGATACCCTGTATACAGTCCGGCCTCTGTTAGCGTTGGGCTGGAGATCGACAAGAGGCTAGAAGATACAGCTGGAGTCAGAACATGGCTTCATAATCACATTTTCTTGCTTAAGAGTGGCTCCACTACAAGGGAGCACTTGCCTGGAGAGGTTTCCAGCAGTTTTTCCACCAACCTGCAGAGAAAAGCTTGGAGGGTGGAGGTGGGAAAGTTGGCCCATGCTGTGCACTGAAGCCCTGGCAATCTGCTGATTTAATGGTGCATGCAAAGCCCTCTGCACAGGGTTTTGCCCAGGGATTTGCAGGTGTTGCTGATCAGCCCCTGTGGGGTTTGCCCTTCTGGATGTCATGGCAACAAGGAGGCAAACTTGCCAGCCACTGTTTTGCATGGTGACTTAATTCATAGAATTGTAGAGTTGGAAGAGACCCAATGGTCCTGGAGTCCAACCTCCTGTAATACAGGGAATTGAGTCTGCATGTCTGTTGAGGGGGCCACTTGAGGTCCTCAGCTGCCCAAATTGCTACCTGGTGAGTGCGAAGTGTAGTTGGGCTGTGCATTAGCCAACAGTCACAATAGGTCGGATGTATTCATCTCATGGTGGTGAAGCAAGCCCTGTAGGCATCATGCAGCCTGGAGCTGCTCCAGCAAGCACCAGAGGAGGCCTTTAAGGAATTCATTTATTACACTGATATCCCAGCTTTCTTGCAAGGAGCTCAAGGCGGCATACATAATACTTCCTCTTCCCATTTTATCCTCACAACAGACCAGGGAGGTAGATTAGGCTGAGAGGCAGTGACTGGTCCAAGGTCACCCAGGAGCTTCATGGCGGAGTGGTGGCAAGAGCCCCAGTCCACTACAACCTCACTGGTAGACGAAGGTAGGGGGTCCAGAATCTCCCTTCATTGTGGGACACTTTCTTCAGAGCTCTTAAGGGGGGGGGCTTGCCCATAGGCTATATCTAGCATTCCCAAATGGCTTTGTGGCCCCAGGTCCACCTTTTAAAAAATATTATTATTTCAGAGGATTACCAATGAACTACTATTACTATTTCAATAGTGTAGAAGAGCTGGTGGGCAAGCCTTCTGGAAAGCAACCTTGAGAGGAGTGGTTTTTGCCACTCCCATTTTTCTGCACATTGGCCACGACCAGTTTGCCACACAGCCCCCAGAGGATGAACATGGCCCTTGGCCCGGAAAAGGTGTGCTGTCCCCGTATTAAAAGTGGCAGAAAGCTTGTCTGAATTTGAATAGGGCAACACCTCTGTAGGGTGAGAAACCTGAATGCCCTGCAGTCTGTGAATATTGTGCACTCATATTCTCTATCCTCTCTACCCTACCCTGCACAATGCATAAAACGACCCAAGGAGGGCCGTGTTGCCATCACCCGCGTTGCCAATCTGCTCCTGTGCATGTATGCGAAAGAGACGGTGGGATTTGGCATGTTAAAAGCCAAGGTAAGGGGTCAACCTGCTCCTGGTTTTATTACTTTTATTCTTGTGGGGCAGCCCATCTTGGAAGGTGACACAAGTAAAATAACTACTTCCAGAGAGTGTCTCCTTGTAAGAGATGCAGCAACACATCCAGCCAAGAACCTTTGGTGCTTCCTCAAGGCAGCTTATTGGGGACTCTTCTCTTCCTCCATCCCACTCATAGCATTTTATTGCAGGCATTAAGGTCTCTGGGGTCTAATTCATACACATACACCATTTGACGGTTTTACATTTGATTTCTATACACTTAGGTATGGTCCATATGTGTCTGTACATCATTCGCTTGCTATACTGTTCATAGAATTGTAGAGTGGGAAGGGACCACAAGAGCCATCTAGTCCAACCCCCTGCAATGCAGGAATCTTTTGTCCAACGTGGGGCTTGAACCCACAGCCCTGAGATTGAGTCTCATGCTCTACCAACTTGAGCTACGATTAGCAACTGAGTCACCTCAGCTCATCCTGTTGAAAAGCTCCACATTTCATGTCATGAGAGACAACGGCTTCATTTTTACGTACCCCAAACTGGTGTTACAAGTATGTGAAGCGGTGAGATTTGGGCTTGTGGATGCTTTCTGCCTCCTCCCCAGCCAGCACGTGGCCACAAGGAGTTAGGAAGCTTCTGCTTTTCAACAACTACAGTAGTACCTCTAGTTACAAACTTAACTCGTTTCGGAGGTCCTTTCTTAACCTGAAACTGTTCTTAACTAGAGGCGTGCTTTTGCTAATGGGGCCTCTTGCTGCTGCTGCGCCGCTGACACACGATTTCCGTTCTCATCCTGGGGCAAAGTTCTCAACTCGAGGTAACTCTTCCAGGTTAGCGGAGTTTGTAACCTGAAGCGTTTGTAACCTGAGGCGTTTGTAACTCAAGGTACCACTGTACTCTTGTTGAGGGCGATGCCTGAGCCAGTGCCCAAGTTTGCTTTACCTGAATTCTGCAGAGGAGGTGGGCACACAGCCAACCAATTCTTTCAACCCTATGGGGAGGGCTGTAGCTCAGTGATCCCCGGCATCTGCAGATAGTGCTGGGAGAGAACCCTGCCGAGCCTCTGTCAATCACTGTAGGTAATACTGAGCTTGGTGCACCATTGGGCTGACTGTATATAAAGCGGCTTCCCAAGTTCCTAACCCGCCTGTCCTTGTGTTTTCCCAGGCTCAAGCTCTGGTCCAGTACCTCGAAGACCCGCTCACCCAGGTGGCTGCCTCCTGAGCAGGTGATGGAGGCCAAAGGCGAGGCCGACCTGCTGCACCCGTTTCCTGTCGGGAGCGAGTTTCAGAACAAGCTCTTGCACCGAGGTGACCCTGTGGACTCTTACTTCTCTGCAGCCTTGATGAGCGCTGGGCGCAGACACTTGAGTGTGTTTCAGGAAAAGGAAAATGGCAGTGGGAGGGGGAAATAAAAAAGCGTGTTCTTAGCTATTTGAGTCCAGTCTCTCTTTTGAGGAAAGTTGGAATTTTCAAGAGGGGGAAGTTGCTCCTCTGCATTGGCAGAAACATCCGCCTACCATCCTGTACATATTTGACCTGGAAATAAATCCCATAGAACGCAGTGGGGCTCGCTTACAAATTAACCCACACAGCTGCTCAAGTGTTCCAGACTCTGAACCTGAAAAGTTTGGAGAAGAACTGATCTGGACCCAGGCTTTCTGGAAGCATTTTCCTGCTGTTAAGCAAGGGGATTCAGTACTGAAGGGGAACCACCTGGTGGCAGCAGAGGAGCAAAAGACATTTCCATTCCTTTCATATTTTGCTTTTAATTGGCCAATTCCAGTAATTCCTTTCTGCAGCTGGTGCTGGGTTAGTTTCAAGGCCAGTGACACCTTCCTAAGCCTGCCTTTGCTGTGCTAATGCTCTTGAGAGGAGACAGGTGGTGTTGAAAGACTTGGTAGCTGGGTGGGGTGGGTGCCTTCATTTAACTCTTCCGAGAAGTGTCAGTTCTCCTCTTAAAACAGAAAGGTGGACTCATTTCTTGCTTAGGGCTAAGTTGACAGATGGGGGAAATCATTCAGTAGGGGTTGTAACCAATGCAGCACTAATGACTTTGCAAAAAATAAATAAATTCCTCACTCTTTCCATCCCACCCTGTACACCCCTAAGTCTGTCCTGGGGTTTCCCCCAACCCTCCAGAGTGGATGCAGGGGCGCACCAGGGAAGAAGGTCCATTGCACAAGCGTAAATTCTTGCACTGATGGGACATATTAGTTGGATACAGCGCTGTGTGTGTGTGTGTGTGAATAAAAGTAACCGCACACACACTCCCCAAAGGTACATTTTCTGTCTCCTCCTGTCCACCCTTTCACATCAACATTTTGGTCATAATTGCACACTAAAGTGATACTTGTCTGTGCAGATCTCCTGGGAACCTGCATCCTGCCTGCCTGTCTGGGCAGGGTCCCAAATGAGCCTGTCCTTTGTCAACTCTGTCTCTTACGTGTGCACCAGGAGAAGCCGATTTGTCTTTTGGATGCTTAGTGTGCCAAAGATGCTTCCAGCCTAACACAGCTGGCTGGCGTGCTTGCTTCTGCACCCTCTTGCGTTTTGTCACCTTGTACGTGAGGATTGCAAAGGTGCATACTTGGGAAGGAGCCCCCTTGAATCTGTGGGGCTGACCCAAGTGGCCAGGTTGGTGAAGACTGCTTTATGGAATTCCTTCTACAGATGGAACTATCAGAGATGAATTGGTCTGGTCAGTCTCCCGTCAAAGGGGAAGAGGGTGCCCTTGTTCCTGGCAGATGTATGCTCCAAGTGTCTTGTCCCAAAGCTTAGTTAACTTTTGAACAAGAGCAATTTTCAGCCCTGCTGGGTGTTTCCCCCGCAGATTGCAGCAACCTGCGTGTGTGGTTTTGTGCTAATCTCCTAGTTGTTTCATTTTGCATCTTCTCATCCTGTCCAAAATGAATCTTTTTAACCACGTGGAAAGAGGGATTTGGGTGTCTACCTTCCCAAATGCCAGGAGAATTTCTGGAACAATTGATTCCTGAGCTGGTGTCTCCTTCCTGTCCGTGTGGTTATCAACTTAAGCTTTACGACACTGTTTCATTTCACAATGCGGAATAATCTGCTTTTCCCCCATTCATGCTGCTGCTTGTTGCCTGAACCTAAAGCAGTTCTGGAGGTGGCTATTACGTGGCTAGATGAGAGTTCAGGGACCCAGCCAATGGAGATCTAAGCTTGATGTGATACAAATAACCAAAGCAATGCATTTTTGATGTGCAAAGCTGGAACCTTCAGTGATTTCAAAATGCTGCTTTGTCACATTTTTTGGCCTTTCTGGTAACTTGTCACTCAAAATCCTGATTCTGGACTAGGGGATTAAAATATATATATCTTTTAAAACAAGAGAAACTTATGGGACTCCCTTATGAGGAAAGTTCACACCGGTTGGGAGTTTTTAGTTTAAATAAGAGGTGACAAAAAAATTTTTTATAAAACTTTCAGGACAGAAAAAATGAAAGCTCTTCTTCATGCAGTGCATAGTTGAACTATGGAACTCTCTGCCACAGGAGACAGTGATGGCCACCAACCTGGATGGCTTTAAAAGAGGATTGGGCATATTCATGGAGGAGAAGGCTATCAAAGGCTACTAGCCATGATGGCTATGCTCTTCCTCCACGGTCAGAGGCAATTCATGCTTCTGAATCCCAGTTGCTGGAAAACACAGGGAAGAAGAAGAAGAATAGTAATGATTTATTATTTATACCCCGCCCATCTGGTTGGGTTTCCCCAGCCACTCTGGGCGGCTTCCAACAAAACACTAAAATACAATAAGAAGAGTGCTCTTGTGAACAGGTCCTACTTGCCAGCTTCCCACAGGCATCTGGTTGGTCCCTATGAGAACAGCATGCTAGACTTGATGTGCCATTGGCCAGATCTTGTGTTCTTAACTTAAATGTCACTGACATCCTTAGGCTCTTGAATCCACAATTCAGAGGGGCCACATCTGAAGCATGGTTTGAACCTGGTTTGGCCCTCATGCTTTCCCCAAAACTATTTGGCAAAGTGGGCTTTTGCAAAGGAGTTCCTTCCCCCCAACCTTTTTCATGCTGCTCCAAGGTCAGCTGAGGCTCTGAAAAAACCGGTTTCTGCAGGGGCATTAGAAAGCAGTGTGAGATGGAGGTAGGATGGAGAAACACCTGCCTAGAGAGCTCCTGCCCATAGCTTCAGTAACTACAAACCCTGAAGTTTGGGGTCTCCTCCAAACCTGTGTCAAAGTTTTGCAGTGTTCAGTGTTGTGTTTGATGTGTCAATTACTCAGATTGGGGGAGGGGCGCTGCAAAACGCAGGGTTATCGCTGCAAAATGCTGCAAGAATTTGACACAGGTTTGGAGAGAATCCCAAACTTTGGAGTTCAGAGTTAATGAAGTTCCTGTTCATCGCTGTAGACCAGGCTTGGGCTTCATGGTCTGACTCTTGTTTGCATGTGGTTCAGTCTGGAATGGTCAACTTGCTCTGAATTCTGGTTCTGGAAAAGTTGCTGCCAGGACCTTTTAACATTCACCATCACCAAGAAAGCCAACTGCTCCTCCTGTGACCATTCTGTTTTTCCGGTTTGGATGTGGTTTATTTTTCAGTTGCAAATAACGTTATCTGGAAACTTTTTGAAATCGTAGATTCTCTGAAGTGGAGGCTTCTCTCCCCCCCGCCCCAGAAGCCTGTAAACATGAAGTATTGAGCCTTCTGGACCTTCTCAGTTTTACCACTCCTCACCTCCCCTCAGGTTATAATTCCAACTCCTTATATATCTTAGGCTTCTCCCTCTTCAACATTCCACCCTTCTGGTCTGGTCTAACAGGATTAGTTTTTCAGGTTTATGACGGGGAGGCTAGGAATGAAGCCCGACTACAGCTGCATGGCTGACAACAACAGATACACTGGTGTATCTGAAGAGGTGTGCATGCACACGAAAGCTTATACCGGAACAAACTTAGTTGGTCTATAAGGTGCTACTGGACAATTTTTTAATTTTTATTTCGACTGCATCAGACCAACCTAGCTACCTACCTGAATCTGACAACAACATGCAGGCTTCTCAGCCCCAGCAGTTGCTACTTCCCTTTTATTGGAATAAGGAACCAAGTTGCTAGCTCTCAAGATTGTGAGGAAATGCCTGAAGGCATATCAGCAGTTTTTGTTAATTTTAACCCTCAATGAAACTCTTAAGTGTTAGCGTGATGTACAGTGTTAATCATACTTGAAGTAAGCCACTGAAGTCTTGCGGCAAGTTCATTAGAGTCGCAGAGTTTTTGAATATGGCAATCTGTATTAAATAATGTAGGCCAGAGACATACATACACTGTTAAGCATTATAATTCTGTGGTTTTCAAGTTGTATGGGTGTGTGTTTTTCATTAATGTTACTGTCAATTGTTATAAAATGTTTAAATGGTCTGTTGACTGCAGATGAGAGCCCCTCCCTTTATTTGCAATATATGGCAGTCATAAACAGTGATTCATAAATGCTTCTTTAAAACGTATGCTTTTACTGTGTCCCACATTCACTAAGCTTTGGGAGAAAGTGCTGGACTATATAAACAAGACACTATGAGGAAAAAAATTAAGATTTTCAGAGGTGAATTTGCTCTTGAATATACCCACTGTATGGAAATTGACAACAGGACAGCAAAAATGGATTCTACGTGCTCTAATGGTGACCAAGAGACTGATACTGATGAACTGGAAAAATTCCTCTTAATCAATGGCTTGACAATATTGGCAACTTAAGAACAGCTTATAGACACAGACTATACAACAATATTTGGAATGAGTTTACACAGACTGCATTAGGTTATTGACAAGTATATGTGTATTAGGATAATAAGAATACACACACCTGAATATTAATGTATGGTAATGTAACAGTATTTTTCCTTTTTTTCATTCTCACTCACTTATTCCCTTTTTTTCTCAGTCGTATCTTTTTATAAATGAAATTCTTCTAATAAAATATTAATAATAAAAAACAGTGATTCATAAACAACTACTTTTTTTACAGTCACTGCCCCCCAGCACCAAATGCCTATTTAATGAGTCATTTCATTCCACAAGTTGTCATGTTTTCTCAGAGCCCTGTAACCACATTGCACATGTAATAAAACTATGCCGGGCCGATAGAAAAGCAGTTAATTTCCTGGTCTGTTCTACTCTCTCGGGCATGGGTTGCCAAGTGATAGTAAGTCCCAACTGTTTGATAAACAAACATGCAGATTAAAAAAAAGAACATATCTGGGTCATTTGCCTAAGCAAAGCTCCCCCCCCCTTTTTTCTTTTGGCAGGCATCAAACCCAGGTTGATCACTGCGCTTGATTTCAGAAACCAGTAAATAAGTCTCAGTTTGGAAGCTGCCTTGCCATCGTTTTCCTCAACTGGAAGAGAAAATAGGGTCTATGGATGGATGCCTCGGCTAAAGGCCCAAGCGCCTGTCTGGGGAAACAGGCAGTGGCCCCTCCTAACCCCTTCCTTTCTCCCTCCCCCTGACCTTACCGCGAGCCCAGATGAAGCGGGCGAGGAGTCCCTCCGCTCAGGTGACACCCGCCCAGGTGAGGTGCCGCGGAGGGGCTGGGCTCAGCCTTTACCTGTTCAACCTGCGCGGCGGCAGAGAGTCCACGCCCCACTGAGTCAGGCGAAGCTGCACCTTTAACCTGCCCTGACTGGGTGGCACGGTTTCTCCCTCCTCCCGCCCTGCCACCCCGTTGTTCAAAGGGTCCCCCACCCATCCGTCCTCATTCCAAACAAGAGCCTCTCTTTGCACAGGTGAACCTCGCTCCTTTCCGCCCCTCCTTCCCTCCTTCCCCCTACGCTCTTTCTGCTTTAAACTTGGGGTTTCTCTGCAAAAGAAAAAACCCAGCAGCCTAGCCTTTCCCTCCTTCCTGGTTTGTTGGAGAAGGGCAGAGAAGGGACTCCTTTTCTCCAGCTGAAGTGGGCCCAGGAGGGCAGCAAGCCATGGGGACCTCAGAGGAAGATTATAACTTCGTCTTTAAAGGTGAGTGTCTTGTTTTTGCCTCATTCTCTCTCCCCACCTCCCAATTCCTTTTCTTCAAAACTGTTGGCTGGGTTTTCAGGACTGCCCTGAAAGCTGTGTGTTGACCCAAGATGCCCCTTTTTAAAAAAGCCATGGGAGGATTTATAGAATTGTACAAGTGTAACGCTGGAAGGGACCCCCAACGGTCATCTAGTCCAACCCCCCTGCATTGCAGGGATCCCACTGAAGTGCGTCCCACCGTCCAACAGCTCTCACCGTCGGAGAACTCTTCCTGATTATGAGTCAGAAGGTGCTTTCTTTTAAATAGAATCTATTGGTAATACACAAGGATAGCTCAGCTGGCAGAGCACAAGGCTCTTAATCTCACGGTTGTGGGTTCGAGCCCCACACTGAGCAAAAGATTCCTCAATTGCAGGGGGGTTGGACTAGATGACCCACGTGGTCCTTTCGAACTCTACAATTCTATGATTCGGGTCCTACCCTCTGGAGCAGCAGCAAAACATGCTTGCTCCATCTTCCATGTGACACCCCTTCAGGTATTTGAAGTCCACTCTAAATTCCTAAGGTGGGGCAATGACTTGAAGGGGCTGTAGCTCTGCGGTCAAGCCCTTTCTTTGCTCTCTTGTTCCAGCCTTGCCACCTGCAGCTAGGAAAGGATCAGGGGTGATGGTGAGAAACCACTGGTCCAGCACAGTACTGCCGACACTGGCTGGCAGCAGCTCTCCAGGGTTTCAGATGGGATATTTTCAGTCCTACCTGGGGATCCCAGCAGGGATTGAACTTGGGACTTTTTGCATGCAAACAGGTGCCTGCCTCTCCTGCTGAGCCACAGCTCCTCCCCAGTCAGTGCAGACAATAGTGGACAAATAGGCTCACACCTTTGGGCTGCATCTGAGTATCCTTTGTCAAGCATCCATATGGCACATGAAGAGTGCCTGTCTTAAAGAATCAAGGCTGATTAAGTCTGTCCGTGTTAGTTGGTTAAATTTGCACACATTTAAAGCTTAATAAACTGAAAGACAAAAGGCGCAGTTGTGTACACACTGTACCTTTTATGCTTTTTAAAATTTAGATTCAGCATCTGTAAAGTGATACTCATAATGTTACAACAGGTTGAAGGCAGCGTAAAGTTGAACATTATCATTAGAGTAAATGTTCCAAAACTTTACAAAAATTACGAATTTTTCCAGAAATCTGTTAGGCTGATTTGTATGTATTCTTTTATAACAAGTTAACTTAATCTTCTGTTACTATGATTTTTTTTCAATATATTTGCGTGTACCCCCCCCCCATTTTTTAGCTGTCACAGTCGTAGCAGCAGTTATAAGATGGAACACTACCTCTTGATGATTTAGATAACCAAGTAGAAATATTTAAGGTTCTAACTTCTAAGGGTATATGATAGCCTAACATATCAGACAGATTATCCTGAACAGGTTTGCAAAATATTTGTATTTGAAAGCAGTTCCGAAGGATGGTGCACATTACAGTATATAGCTCTAAAGCACACCATGCAGTGCCTCAAAGAATTCTGGGCACTGTAGTTTGTTAAACATTGCTGGGAATTGTAACTCCACGAGGGATAAACTACAGTGCCCAGAATTCTTTGAGGGAAAGAATGTGCTTTGAAGGTATAGCATGTATGCAACTACCTCATTGCATAAGAGTAGCAAGAATGCTTCTTCTAAGATGGCAGTCGCTGCACCCCCTAACCCTAAATAATTTAAGCATGTAAAATTGCTAGGAGGTTGGGCCACCAACTTGAGGTTTGTATTCATTTTAATGCAACTCATCAGCTGACCAAACTTTGCGTTCCTAGTGACTATTGTTGGTAGTGATAGGATCAGTTTCCTCCCTGCAGCTTGATTATTTGCTTTTCTCTTTCCTTGTTTCCTGGTACTTCAAAGCATGTGACTCTTTGCTTTCCCCATCAACCATAGGAGGAGAGCTGAGTTAAGTTGCAAAGCCATGCACCTCTACCCCTTTCAATAGAAGCCTTGTCATATCTCGCCTGCTCAGTGAGGCAGGAGCATCTTGCAAGAGTTCAGCCGCTTTGCAAGCTGAGCTTTGCAAGAGTTCACCTGCAGGTTGTATGCAGTGCTATTTTTCTAGAAAATTAGGTGCTGGAAGTTAGCAAGAACGTGCATGAATGTGTGAATGTCCTGGAACTGAGTTCCTGCTGGGAAAAGAAGCCCTGAAACTAGCCTACTTTGCAAAGGTAGAATTTGCATTTCTTGCCACACCCACTTTTGCCTCTGGCCCTGTCCACCATTGGCATGTGGTCATCATAAGGTTGACAAGAAGAGAATGTCGCCTTCAAGGCTGAAAAGTATTCCTTGTCCCTGTTATAACAGTTCCCACTAACTACCTAGCTTTCTCGTGCCAGATGTTTTCCCCTAGTGCCTGGAGCGTTTTTGAGGGACAACATCACACCGATTTGGTGTTCTGGGTATCCAGAAGCCAGAAACCAGCCCTGATCTGATCACTGTTTGTGCTAATCTGGACTCTGAAGCACCAGAGCTGCGTGCATTAGGAAAAACAAGCAGAGTGAAGCCAACTGTCAAGTTTCTAGCTCTCTAACAACTCCCATCTAGGCAGTAAAAACATACAGACAACAGCATATGGGATGGCGGTTTTCTCAGAAACCAAAACAAATATTTGGCCTTCATAAACCTGCACCTCTCGGTAAAGGAGCAAACATGATCCCTGAGACGGTGGCGTTCAAATTCCAGCTTGGAGGACACAGATTCAGTGGTACTTGGCAGATAAATAACTCGCCCCCTTTTCTCCAGCCTCAGACCCCATCTCTGTCTGCAGAAGGCTCAATTCACACCATGCATTTTAAGCGTTATTATACCACTTTAAACAGTCATGGCTTCCCCTCCAAAGAATCCTGTTTAACAGACTGTCCCTCTTCCCAGGAAACTCTGAAAACCCAGGGCTTTTTTTCAGCAAGAACTCAGCAGAACTCAATTCGGGCACCTCTCAGGTGGGCGCCGTTGCCATTATACAGAGAGGCATTCATGGTGACTTCTGGCACCTCTTTTTCTAGAAAAATAGCACTGGCAAGTTTCCTCACACTCACCCACCCTTCTCCGTCCTCCACCCAGGCAAATGAGTCATTATCACAGTTCAAGGACACATTCCAGCCAGAAGAAAACAGTCTAGGAGGGTGTGAAGCAAGACCAGTGAGGCGTGTGGTGTGGAGGAGAGTTCAGAGGGCCAGACGGAGAGAGTTAGGGGGCCACATTCAGGCCTGAGTTCCTGTCCCCTGCCCGTGATAGGCTCTGAGGTGCAGAGGAATCCACGTGAAAAACTACCGTATTTTTCCGTGTATAAGACTATATTTTTTCCTAAATTTTTGAAGTTTAAAATAAGGGGTCATCTTGTACACAGACAGTGCATAGTGCATTTTCTTAATTTTGAGCCCCCCAAAATAGGGGGCGTCTTATACACGGGGGCGTCTTATAGATGGAAAAGTATGGTAAATGCAAAAGTAGAAAAGGGACCTCTGTAGTATTGCCTTGGTTGGGGAGAGTTGATTTGGGATTCTTGCTCGTAGGAGTTGTGATTTGAGGTTTCCGAAGAGCTGACACAGACACAAAGTGTTAAATGGGAATCATAGAACTGTATAGTTGGAGGGAGCCTGAGGGTCATCTAGTCCAAGCCCCTGCAATGCAGGAATCCTGCCCACAGCTGCTCCTCAGAGGGCTCAAGCCACCAACCTTCTGGTTAACAGCTGGACGCTCTGATCCATCCCATGCAACTGGCGGAAGAGTCACTGAGGCCCAGCTGTTTAGCAACACGGAAAAATAATTCCATAGTAAAGATACCGGCTGGCTTTTCTAGCACATATTATGGCTGCCACAGTACATGTTAGCCTGTCTGATAAGCCTGATAAATTGAGAGGTAGTGCGGTGTAGCGGTTAGAGGGTTGGATTAGGACCTGGGAGACCAGGGTTCAAATCCCCATTCAGCCTTGGGTGACCTTGGGCTCTTAGCCGAACCAACCTCATAGGGTTGTTGAAAGGATAAAATAAAATGGGGAGAAGGAGGAACTAGGTACACCACCTTGAGCTCCTTGGAAGAAAGGCGGAATATAAATGTAATGAATAAATAAATAATTTGGGCCCTGATCGGGAGGATTTCAATCCCCGTCATCATCCTAACAAACAAATGAACAGCACAGGGACAAGTGCAGGTAGTCCGGCAACCTTTCCACACCCCTCTGAATGGAGATTTCAGGCCACCAGCAGCCCACAGATCACATTCTGAGAAGCCAAACATAGTTATTCTACAATTGTCGAAGCTAGCTTTCCCCAGCCTTCAAAGCCAGCGACACCTACCAGGTTTGGGTTTCCTGGTGGAGCTGCAGGACCCTGTACCTTGCGTGAATTATGGCCTGTTGTATTTGCCCTTCCTGTAGCGATCGAAAATGTGCCGTGTTAATTGTTGCAAAGTCTTCGGGGCGTGAAATCACAGCTATAAATAAAGGGATTCAGGAGCACTTGGCAGGGGGAGGAAGGAACAGACACACTGGTGTTCCTGGCAACAGCCTTCAAAATAATGCAAGCAAATTGGGTGAGTGGCCAGTGGCCAGGAGAGCATCACATCACTACTGAAGGGCAAGGCATGGGACCCTCTCAGGCAAAGAAGGGCATCTTTGCAGAGCCCCAGTTCTTGTCCCAAGGAGGGCTGCCAGAGCCACTCCATCCCATGATGCATTGCGAAAGGCTCGGCTCTATGGCCACATTCACAGCATACATCTAAGCACTGTGGTACCATCTTAAACAGTCATGGCTTCCCCCAAAGAATCATGGGAGCTGTAGTTCACTTAGGGTGCTGAGTTGTTTGAAGACTCTCCTCCATTCACCTCACAGAACTAAAATTCCCAGAGTTCCCTGTGAAGAGGCATTGTAGCTTTGTGAGGGGAACAGGGGGTCTCCAAACAACTCTCAGAACCCTTAACAAACTACAGCTCCCAGGATTCTTTGGGGGAAGAAGCTATGGCTGTTTAAAGTGGTATACCATAGTGCTTTGAATGTATGGTGTGGATATATACCTGTGGTTTCTGGAAACCACAGGAGCGGAGAGTCCTCTTGTGCTTGAATCCTGCTTGCCATTTTCCCTCAGGCACCTGGTTAGCCACTGTGAGAACAGGATGCTGGGCTAGATCATGGACCAGCCCACACATGAGGCAAGGTGAGGCGGTCGCCTCAGACAGCAGGATCCACAGGGGCAGCAGATTGCACTGTAAATCTTTACTCCCCGCTTGTTTGGGGTAGATCTTCACTCACTTTTCCTTCCCTGGTGGGGGGGAGCGGTGTGCCATTTTGTGCTTTACCTCTGGTGCCAATCTGCCTTGGGCCAGCTGTTTACGTCAAGATTTTAATCCCGTTCTGTCTCCATACTGGCTTTGAATTTATTATATACGAAATAGCTTTTCTTCTAGAAAAAAAGGTGCCGGTACTGCGTATTCTTGAGCACCACCAGAAGAAAAGTACTGGCTTCATATATGTATTTTTGTTGGTGATGTCTATTGCTACATCGATTTGATCGTGTTTTGTTGTTTTTAATAGGAAGCGATTCATAAAGTAAATACTGTAAATGCATTTGCACCTAGACTTTTTAATGAATGCAATGTATTCACTCCTTCCTTCCATCTCTCTTAGTGGTCCTGATTGGAGAATCAGGAGTCGGGAAGACCAACCTGCTCTCCCGGTTCACCCGCAATGAGTTCAACCACGACAGCCGCACCACAATTGGGGTGGAGTTCTCCACTCGTACCATCCTGGTGGGAGATGCCTTGGTGAAAGCACAGATCTGGGACACGGCTGGCCTGGAGCGCTACCGGGCCATTACTTCGGCGTAAGTACAGGTGGGGCTGGTGGCGCAGAAGTTATTGGGAGGGATTCAGCTGTGGACTGGGAAGCACCCCCTTCTCCCTTAGCATCTCGCCACATCCACACTGACCTGATCCGCAGCCTTGAACAAGCCTCAGCTCTCCCCTCTGTAGTATTGGGATAATAACATCGGGTCATCTTGCAGGACCATTGTAAAGGGAAGTGCTTTGCATGCTCTTTCAGCCCCCGATCCTGTGCATGTTTACGCTAAAGCAGGGGTTGATGTTGTTAGTTGCTTTTTACACCAAAGCATCTCCAATATTTTACAGAATAAATATATAAATTTATTCTATTAATTTTATTAAATGGATACACCGCGTAATTGTAAAATCAAAAACAAAATTTCAGAGAAGTTTAATCAATAATATTATCAATAAGAAAAATGAAAAACCTTTTAAAACCTTCAAAAAGGTAAAATGACAACAGGCTAAAAACAGGTTAAGAAACAAGAAGCATTAAAACGGCAATGAAAGAAGACCTAGTGCTCATCTAAAAATATATAAAAGTATCCCCAAATGATGTTCCTCTTGAGATACATATAATTTGTAAAAAAATACTTGTGAACATAACACAGGTACCATAGGAGCAACAGTTCCTAAACACACAAGCACAGCACCGTATTAAAACACCCAAGAGGAAACCTCTTGAGATTTGTCTGCTATAATAGCAGAGTTGAGGTCCTGGTGGATGCAAGTGTTTTTATCCTCAAAATGCTTCTCAGACATGTCTCACTGGGCTATTGTAGGCTCCACCACGTCCTCTGAGCCAACCCTCCAGGGGCCACATGGCTGTAGTGAGTTTTGCCACCTCTCTCTCTCTCTCTCTCTCTCTCTCTCTCACACACACACACACACACACACACACACACACACACACACACACACACACACACACCTAAAAAGAGGAAAAGGGACTGGGAGGGAGGAGGAAAAAGCAAGCTTAAGTTACACGTGACATCAGTGGCATTTTCTGTGTTTTTTACCATCACTGGAAGCGCTCTTCTCTCCACCCACTCCCCAGATCGGGGCTGGTGACTGTGTCCAGACCAGAAGGACAGGGCAGCTCCTGACACACCCAAAACATTATCTATATTGTTGCACCCCGCCCTGCAACCTGTTTTGATGAAGGGCAAGCACAGAAGCTTTTTAAATAAATGAATATGAATGCAGTCCAACCCCGCTGTATTAAAATGCTAAAAACGACACAAAGGACTTGTGCCACCCTAAAGATAATAAGATCAATGTGAGCCAAGCGGTCACGGACCCAGCCCTGTGTCATCAGATGCAGCTGAGGAAAGTGTGCTCTGGAAGAGCAACTCTTAAAAGTGATCAGCCTCTTAAGATGCCAAGGTAATACAGGATTAGTGTGTTGTAATGAAGACAATGAACGTGGCTACACCCTTGGAAGTTATAATTGCTAAGCATTATTACTTATTTGAACTCTTTGCATGTTTTGTTTTTTTCTTTTTAATTAGTAGACTGCAGAGATTCTCTAATCAGGTTAGAAAGCTAAGCTCATGACTTTGCAGCGTTGCGTGAGGCTGCTCAAGTTTCTAGACCCTATGGCCTCCTCCTGTTCTGCTATGGATGTCCGCCTCTCTTTGTCAACAGCAATCTGTTGCTGCGGTAAACTGAGAATAATGCTTGGAGGACGTCCAAACTACTTCTAGGTAGCAAACAAAATCTGAGTGCAGCCAGCAGTGAACAGGAGCCTTCCTGCCTATATGAGTGTCTGTTCTTACCTCTGTGGAGGAAGAAGAAGAAGAAGAAGAGTTTGGATTTGATATCCCGCCTTTCACTCCCTTTAAGGAGTCTCAAAGCGGCTAACATTCTCCTTTCCCTTCCCCCACAACAAACACTCTGTGAGGTGAGTGGGGCTGAGAGACTTCAGAGAAGTGTGACTGGCCCAAGGTCACCCAGCAGCTGCATGTGGAGGAGCGGAGACACGAACCTGGTTCACCAGATTACGAGACTACCGCTCTTAACCACTACACCACACTGGCTGTGCATGTCAGTGCAACTCTGAAGTAAAGACATTTCAATAGGACTTGTGAACAAGGCCTTTCTGATGATTCCTGCATTGCAGGGGGTTGGACTAGGTGATCCTTATAGTCCCTTCGAGCTCTGTGATTCTATGGGCCTCGGGGTCCCTTCAAACTCTGTGATTCTATGTGGCCCTCCAGGCACCTCTGTTCAGCCCTTGGGACTCTCACCAGCCCTGCTCAACAGCTTCCTCATGTTCTTGCCTGGATGTCCAGTCCAAGGCTGGCTTAAATAATAAGGGACCATAAAAAAGGATGCAGGAGCTTTGAAGTTACTTTTCAGTGGTTAGCAGACTAGGCAAACCCACCACTCACCCTCCATCCTCCCCACTATAGGGAAGTGTTCTGTATCTCTATTTAAAGTATAGCAATTATTTGTAAGCTTTCATCCATATATATAAATCCCCACATACAGTTTTTATGCAAATTGTTGACTTCTTTCATCTTATTTCTTTTCCTTTTTTTGGCAATGCATAACTGGTCACTTTACGTTGGGTGCAAATTAATTAATACTGTGATTTGAAAAGTGAGATCTAAGGTGGAAGATTCGGAAAGAAGAACCAACATAGGCCACCTGCACACCATTTAAGGCACTGTGATACCCCTTTAAATGGCTTCCCCCAAACAATTCTGGGAGCTGTAGTTTGTACAGGGCGCTGTGCGTTGGTAGGAGGCCCCTATTCACAAACCTACAATTCTCAAAGTGGTTCAGTAGTCAGTCCCTCTTCCCAAGGAACTCTGGGAGTTGTAGTCACAACAACTCAGTACCCTTAGCAAACTGCAGCTCCCAGGATTCTTTGGGGCAGAAGACGCCACGGCTGTTTAAAGTGACACTGTACCACTTTAAATGTATGTTGTGAATGCAGCCATAAATAAGGGCCTCATTTAAGAAATAATGTTGAGACTTCCAAAGAAAAGAGAAGGAATCGTGGGACACCCATGCTTCCTTGTTGTTGTTGTTACTAGTTCTTCATACGCCCTTCTCTTAACCCTGTCCTGATCTCTCAGTTATTACAGAGGCGCAGTGGGAGCCCTCTTGGTTTTTGACATCACCAAGCACCAGACGTATGACGTGGTGGAGCGCTGGCTGAAGGAGCTGTATGACCACGCAGAGGCCACCATCATTGTGATGCTGGTGGGCAACAAAACAGATCTGACCCAAGCCCGGGAGGTCCCAACGGAGGAGGCCAAGATGTATGCAGGTAGGGGACAGCTCTGTGGCTTTGTACATTGGGCTCCGAGAAGTATCTGTGCTCCACTGCAGGGAAGGACTGTGGCTCAGTGGTAGAGCCTTGCATGCATAATGTCCCAGGTTCAACCCCACAGTTTCTCCAGCTGGGGCTGGGAGTGTCTCCTGCCTTAAACCCTGGAGAGCTTCTGCAAATCTGTGCAGACTCAGTATAAGGTCTGACTCAGTATAAGGCAGCATCCCATGTACCTTCTCGGCACTTGTGTGAAGAGTTAGAAGCTTTAAGACGGAGTGCCTCTTTTAAAATAGTCCCTGCCATCTGTACTGGCACACTTTTATAATGTGTTTTATTACTAAACAAGCAATGCCACTATATAAAAATGAAACCTGCAGCTTGATCAATCACAGACACTTTTAACAATTGATTAATCCACTGGATTAAATCGGCTACAAACTGTGTTATTGTCTGTACAGTGGTACCTTGGTTCTCGAACTCAATCCGTTCCGGAAGTTTGTTCAGCTTCCAAAACGTTTGTAAACCAAGGTGTGGTTTCTGGTTGGCTGATTGGCCCCAGAAACAATGCCGACAGCCAAAACGGACTTTCAGCTTCCTAAAAACTTTCACAAACTAGCACACTTACTTCCAGGTTTGAGGCGTTAGGGAGCCAATTTGTTCATCAGCTAAGCCGTTCAGGAACCAAGGTACCACTGTGTTATATTCTCTTTCTGTCCACTGTTTCGGTATTCTCTGAATGCATTTTATAAATTATGAAATAAAAAAAGACAGAATGACTACCAATCCCAGTTTTAAATTGGTGATCTGATCTTATCTATTAATGGAGGTCTGATAGGGTCTCACTGCTTCTCTCTTCTTGCAGAAAACAACGGTCTGCTCTTTATGGAAACCTCTGCGCTGGACTCCACAAATGTTGAATTGGCTTTTGAAACTATCTTGAGAGGTAAGTCATCAGTTGGTGGTACCAGTGGCGAAGCTGCATGCTGCACTACTGGGGGCACGATGCGCATCTGGGGGCGTGGCAAGCCGCCCATGGGGGCATGGCACACATTCTGGGGGTGTGACGTGCCGCCTGTGGAGGCATGGCACCCGGCACGTGGCGTGTGTCCAGGGGGGCCGACCTCGATGGCACCCTACCGGAATAATGGTGCCAGGAGCGGTCCGCTTCCTCCGCCAGCAGGTGGTACCCAAACTTGCAGTGGCCTAGCCAGGGCTGAGAAGGAGGGTGATCTTCCTTGCTGTCACTTGTTCTTTACTCCAATAAGGGGCTGCAGCCTATGGAGAAGGGTTTGTTTTAAGCCCCCACTCCCCATTTTCTTGTGTGCGTGTGTGTGTGTACCCAGAAACCTTTAGTCTTTTTAGGCATGGAGATAAAAGGTAAATCATGCAGTCTGGAAAAACATAAAATTCAGGGTTTTCCCCGATGGTAGCTTATTGGTGCTGATAATGCACACAAGTTAGCACTATGGTGCAATGGTGGGTGGGATTGGCAAAGGTTTTTTCCTGGACATGCTCCCCATTTTTGCCCCCTTTTTAATTTTTTTAAAAATGTAATTGCCAAATGTGTAAAGCCGGATTTGCACAAGCCAAATGTGCGCACATTGTGAGTTACCTGTACAAATAAAACCATCTGTCCTAAAGACACATTCATTCCAAGGAAAGTGAGCCCCTGGGGCACTCCTGGAATCTATCGCTGCTCAGAGATTGGGGTGGTGCGTAACCATCTTTATTTATTCCTTCTCCTAGACATTTTCAACAAAGTGCAGAAACAGAAGCAGAAAAGCCCCCTGGACAACACCGTTTCGCTCTCTGCTGAACACACTGATGCAGCCTCCACCTCTCAAGCTGTGGAAGGGAAGCGAGCTTGTTGCTTGAACCTCTGAAGCGAGGGTCGCACATGAGGAACATCAGCCGTGTTGAAGAAGCCAACATTTGGTGGGTGGGAGAGGATTCCACACTCTGGATGATGATTTATGGCCGAGATGTCCGTCTCACTGTAGCCTCTGCGGTCTGGGGGGTAGTTATGGAAACTTTTTGGATCAGGCTCGCCTACCTAAATCTAGGGAGCACAATAGTGTGTTTGGGGGTGACAAAGCATCTTGACACAAGAATTCCGTGTTTGTGGGTCAGTACTTGTACAAAAGAACTACCCACAACCCTGCAATGTCTCAGCCTTGTCTTCCAATACAGATACGAATCTATAGTGAATGCAACAGTAGTCACAATCCTGCCAAAGTTAATCACAACTAGCCGTCCTGTACCCTCTTAGCTGGGAGTGAAGTGCTTTGATCTCTGGTAGGGCTTCTTTATCCAAACAGACCTAGGATCGCAGTGCAAGTTCCATTGCAGGTTATTGTGACTAAGGCCACCATCACACCGTACATTTGATAGCACTTTAAACAGTCTCAGCTTCCCCAAAAGGATTCCGGGAGCTGTAGTTTATTAAGCTTGCTGACAGTTGCTAGGAGGCCCCAATTCCCTTCACAAGGAATTTTGGGAATTGTAGCTCTGGGAGGGAAAGAGGTGCATCCCAACAAATCTCAGCACCTTTAACAAACTACAGCTGCCAGAATTCTTTGGGGAGGGAAAGTCACCACCATTTAAAGTGGTGCCATTGCACTTTAAATGTATGGTGTTAACATGTGCTAACTTAAATCCTGTTGGCTTTCTGTGAGGCTTACCATGTGTACGCAGGAGTAATCCCTGTTGAATTCAGTGGCTTTTACTTCATGGTAACAGGGCTTCGCTGCATGTGATATCTGCTGCTTCAAACTTTTAAAAAATTACACTTCTGTCCCCACAATCTCCCTCAGTCTAAGGAGATGAGGTCAGTGCACATTTGTGGATGCACTTGAGTCTCCCTCATCAAAGTCCAACTCTCTGTCCCAGCCACTGCCAACATGGTGCCCTCCAGATGTTTTGGGCTATGGCCATAATTGGGAGTTGTAGTCTAAAACTCCCAGAGGGCGCCAGGTTGAGAGAGGCTGCTATAGAGCTCAGCCTTCCTCATACACTGGCTGGGGCTGATGGGAATGGTAGCCTAAAACAGCCAGAGGGTGCACGATTGACAAGGCTTGCTGCTGCTCTTGTAGGGCCAATAAATCTGCGCCAGAATTTCCACACAGTGCCCTGGGCATGGTGCCAATGTGGCTGAATGACTAGGTAGGTAGGAAGAAGGGCATTTTGCAGGGCAGGAAATTCGGGTATTATGAAGACTCCCCTGACACTTCCTAGTCTCCTAATACCGGAAATCCCCCAACAAAATGATTAACTGACAGAACTGGAAGCCAAAATGAGGAGGTGATGGGTGATGGCTTGAAAAGGGGATTATACAACTTCATGGAGGAGAACTCCATCAGTGGCTATTATCAGTGGCTAATTTGAGCCTCCATAGGCAGAGGCAACCCACCTGTCAATACAGGTTGCTGGGGGGAAGAAGCAGGAGGAAGATCTGATGGGGGGGGGCTTCCAGCTTGGCTAGTGTGTCAAGGAGTCTGCAAGGATCCCTGATGGGGGTCTTTTAAAATTCTTTTGTTATATTCCAAAGTCCCTGTCAGCTCAATGTCTTTATTAGGCAAACCAAAATATCATGGAATGGTTTGCAAGCTTTTTGAGTTCTCCTTATCTCTTCATCTGGCTCGATGAAGAGTTCTGTGAAACTTAAAAACTTGCACATTCTTTTGTGACATTTTGGTTGGCCTAATAAGGGCACTGCCCTAGTAGGGAATTCAGATCCCACCCCCCTATACTTGTTATTTCTTTTGTTACACGTTCACAATGCACTTGGACTCCCTGCTTAGACTTCTTTCTGTGGCTGTGACTCCTTTTGTGTTCAGCCTCCATACCGAAACTTGAATGTCTGGATCACCAAGCTGCGATCCTTCGAAATTTACCCCATCCAAAAGACACAGCCAGGCCTTTGTGGAAATGGAAATTCGTCAGTATATTGTGTGTGTACATTTATACATATATGTATTGTGTGTATATATAGCAAGAGACACAAAGAATATATTTTGTAAATAAATCGCTATGGACTGGGCATTTTTTAATTTATTACTGTGCTTAATGTAGCAAAACAAGTAGGGGTGTGTACACTGGGAAACATGACATTAATAAAAGAAACAAAGTGCTTATTTCAGAGACACCTAAGATTCCTGTTGTGCATCATGAACAAACTACAGTTCCCAGAATTCTTTGGGGGAAGCCATGATGGTTTAAAGTGGTATCATAGCGGATTAATGTTGTGAATGCAGCCCTACTTAAACTTTGGTTGCTTTTGGGGATTTGCCAAAAAGAGGAGGGATTTGACACCGAGCATAATTCTTTTTCATAGGGGAAGGGCTGTAGCTCAAGGGAGGGGAGCACCACCTTTGCATGCAGAAGGTCACAGGTTCAATCCCTGCCGGCATCTCTAGTTAGGGCTGGACTAAGACGCCATGTCTCGAACCCTGGGTAGCCACTGCCAGTCACCGTCAACAGTACTGGATTAGATGGGTCAGCGGTCTGGATTCTCAGTCAACAGGAAGCAGTTGCTCGCAACCTCAAATCTCTTAACTGCAGATCTCTTCCTGTTAGAAATGTGCTCAGGGTTGGGCTTTGGTGAGTCTCCAACAGATCTCTGTGATTGGAATGGAGTACGGGAGAGGAGAGATGGTCTCTCGAGTGGGTCTAAATCATTTAGAATCAGAACTGTAGAGTTGGAAAGGATCCCAAGGGCCATTAGTCTCAACCCCCTGCAATGCAGGAATCTCAACTAGAGTCACTGACTGACAGCCATCCAAGCTTTGCTTAAAAACATCCAAAGAAAGAGTCCACAACCTCCCGAGGAGCACCCCGTGCTAACATGCACAGCAGCATACAGCAACATATCCTATGCACACAGCAACATCTGTGCTCTACCATGATATGGCATGGTTTTTTATTTATACACCACCCAAAGCCCCCCCAAAGTGTGAGCCACATTAATACATGTGAATATGAAATAAATACACAATAAAGCTACAATGCATACAATAAATAAATAAATAATATAAAATGAGTATGTTGTATCCAAGCATGCACAGGAATGCATAAGGGTTGTTGTGAGGATAAAATGGGGAGGAGGAGAGCTACATATGTCATTTGAGCTCCTTGCTTCATGCAACTTGGGCTGTTCATGGTAGAGCAGAGATTTGAACCACGGCTTTCCTAATTCCTCCCCCACATCTCTTAATCTTGTCACACTTATTTAGCAAGCACCTTGCAGGCAGAGATCTGTTGTTTTCCGGTCTGGTATAGCCAAGTGATTTAAAATAAAAGTGTTAAGGAAGTTTCTCCTTCAAATGCAGCTTCAGCCATGACATAGGGGGCATCCTTGCCTCGTCCCCTTCTATATCTTACATTTTTCCTGCAATGGCATTATTTACAATCAGGTTTGCAGTTTGATCTGTATAAATTGCCTTAATCCCTTTTATGAATATGACTCCTAATTCCATTTTTTTCTAATAACAATCATAAATGACCAAAAACAAAAATAAATTCAATAGGGACTAATCTTAGGTTTTGCAGTTCAGCAGAAAGAACCAGCTGCACCAATATAACATGAGGGATACCTGGTTTGCTAGTAGTACATGGGAAAAGGATCTAGGGGTCTTAGTGGACCACAAGCTTAACATGAGTCAACCTGAGAGTGATGCAGCAGCAAAAAATGCTAATGCTATTTTGGGCTTCAACAACAGAAAAGTGTCCAGATCAATGGAAGACAATAACACAATGAAATTCAAAACAGTAACAGTTTATTGCACATTTATTCAAAATCCATTAAAAACTATTTAGTTTAAGTAATACAAGAAAATTGACCAGCTTGAGCCAGTGACACCAGAGAGAGCCATTTTCAAATACAGTGGTACCTTGTGTTGTGTAACCTTCAGGTTACGGAATCTTCAGGTTACGGTTGCAGCAAACCCAGAAGTGTATACTTCCAGGTTTCACCACATGCATGTGCAGAAGCGCTCTATCACGCTGCGCATGTGCGCAGAAGTGGCACCTCTAGTTATGGATTTTTCAGGGTGCACACAGCACCCCGAAACAAATTAAATCCATAATCAGAGGTACCACTGTAACTCAATGGCTGTCACATGGAAGATGCAGCAAGCTTTTTTTCTCCTGCTCTGGATGGTACAACTCGAACCAATGGCTTCAGAAACAACAAAGGAGATTCCGACTAAACATTGTTCAACAGAGGAATGGACTCCCCTGGAAGGTGATGGACTCTCCTTCCTTGCAGGTTTTAAAGCTGATATTAGATGACCATCTGTCATGGATCCTTCCTTCCTTCCTTGTTCTGCCCAATCTCAGTCCATATTTCATGGCTGGTTAAATCATCTATCCCCCTCCTGATTCTCAGCGCCTCTTCTTCTGCCAGTCTTTGGCCAATTGGGATGTCCAAATAGAGCCAGCAATTCCTTCAGGGAGGAAAATCATAACTCTTTAATGATGTCATCATCTGGATGGTAGATGTTATGTATTGGGTTTAACACAAGGTGCATTCTAACCAATCACGTAAGTGCTGGTAGACGAACGTTCTAATGGCAAGTAAGCGCATGGACTTTCAACTGTCAACGGTCAGTTCATGCTCAGCATTATTATTGTGTTGTCCAGTCAGTTTGGTTCTTGTTTTCCTATGAGTGAGCTGTTGTCACTAACAAATGTTGAATAAACGTAGGGCTTCTGACTTTTTCTGAACACTGGTGACAAGGGTAGGGTTGATGAACTACCGCTGCCTGCCGCCTCGCAGTAAGCGCGACCTCACCGCCACGCTAGACTTAGCAAATAGTCCCGGAAACGAGACTGCGCCTGCCACATCTTCGCAACCACCCACAATCGCACAAGCAACTGCTCCAGGTCCAAGGATGGCCACCAGTCATAGTCGGCCACCACCGGACTTGGATATGAGCCATCCTGCAGAATAGCCGCAGTGGCTCCGCCGAATAAGGAGCCATGTCCGACTACAAGACTTCACTAGGGAGGCAGACAAGGTGGATGTGCTACTGACGGTGCTGGGAAGTTCAGCCATCACTCTACTGGAAGGTCTGATGGCACCCAGGGACATAGAGGCATGCACTTTTGATGAGCTGACACAGGCTATGACAAGATAGGAAAGGCCTGCCAGGCAGGGAGCAGGTCCTGCAGGACTCCCAGCAGGAAGACCTGGGAGGTGTGTCTTGGGCAAACAAGGGACAAGGGAATTCGCTGTCCTCAAGGTGTGGGGCTTACCTTCTTTCAGATTTTTCCAGAAACAAGCCAGCTCTGGGCGAATTACTGTGTTCTGCAGAGGAAAGAAAAATCTGGGTCAGATGACACTATGAACCCCACCCTGGATGGGTGCAAAAGAGCACAGAAGCAGCCCCACACCAGGAAGGATGGGTCTCCCTATGGCTTGGGCCCAATCCCTTGCCCCAGAGGACCTCCTTGGACCCCGCAGCCTCCTAGGCAGAGGTGGAAGGGCAGCACCAGGAACGGGGGCAGAAATACCCTCTGGCCTCATCCTGGCACCCAGGGACACACACCACATCTTCTGCATTAAAGGTTGCTGGGGGATGTCTCTTGGGGGAATGGAAGCAACCAAAGAAATGAATACAGGAAGGCAAGATACTTACTCTGAGGTGGGGGAATCTTCGTGAAATGGCCAGCAGCAGAGAAATGCTGCTGGCCGCTAGTTTCCTTTCCGCCTCACTTCCCCAAAGGGCGTAAAATCGGAGGTCCTGCGGGAGGAAAGAGCGTCTCAGAGTCAGGGGCCAGTCTGGGCCAAAGCGGCCCCCCGCTGCCCCCATCACGGAGTCCCTGGCACTCCTGAACCATGAGGGTTGCCACTTTTGGTCTTGGGCCAAATTGGGGGCCAAACGGGACAGGGGACTCTGTGCCCCAGAAATGGGACAGTCTGTTGGGCAAGGGACAGGGGGCAACCCTAAACCCACTCCTGATGCCATCAGGACACTTACAGTGAAATGGGACAGGGGACTCTGTGCCCCAGAAATGGGACAGTCTGTTGGGCAAGGGACAGGGGGCAACCCTAAACCCACTCCTGATGCCATCAGGACACTTACAGTGAGCAGCTGGAGGAGGGTGCCAGCATTGGGGGCCTCCAGAAGGAGACCCCCCAGTAGGCTCAGGAAGTGCCTCTTCCGTTCCTGCGGGAAAAGAGAGAAGAGAGGTTGAGTGCTGGGTTAAATCTTGCAAGGGTGTGAGAAGAAGACAGAGATGTGCAAAGGGAAGTCAAAGCAGAGGACATACCTCTTTATCCTCCTCCTTTTCTGCGCCCCCAAGAACAGCCTCCATTGTCCTATGCAGGATAGCAATGACCATATCACAGCTGAAATGGGGTCTCATGAAGGTGGAGAGAGAAAGGAGAGGTGTTAGACACTGCCTCCTCCCTTGCCCCCTTCTGCCTGCTCTTGCCCACCTGGCGCTCCTCCTGGAGTTCTGCCCCCCACCCCACACCCACCCCAGCTGGAGGTGATCCCTGAAGCGCTCCAAGTGGCCAAAGATGTGCTGGAAGAGAGCGGAGGAGGAAAATCGGCTCCTTCCAGGGGGTCACCGGAGGACGGCTCCGACCCCAAATGCCAGGCTTGTCTTTCCAGGGGATTGGCAGCCCCATGCCCTAAGCCAGAAAGGTCCTCCTCTCCAGCAAATGCACAAGCCCCTCCCCAAAGCCCCTCTCTGCCCCTCCCTCCCCATGGGGGTCCCTCACGCCACCCCTCACTCACCATAATGGCTTTGGCCGTCTCCTGCTTGGAGCACTTCAGGGTTTGGAGCCCCCTGAGCCAAGCTGCCTGGCAGTTCTGGAAGACCTCCAGGTGGTATAGCTGATCTTCCTCCAGCAGTTGAAATGCAAATGCCACGCTGTCAGTTCCTTGCAGGGCTCCTCTGCATCTGAGAATGCAGAGTGGGGGGCAAAGAGCCCAGGCAGCGTGGGCAGGGCCGGATTTAGATGAACAGAGGCTCTAGGCTACTCCACTTGTGAGGACCCGGCCTATCCCCCACCCTCACTAGAAGAAAAAATTCAAAGTGAACTGTACATAATTGCACAAGAACTCAATAAAGGTCTGATTTCTGAAGGGCTTTGTTGACCTTGTGAAAATGACCTTGTGCACGGGTCCAAAAATGCAGCATAAACATAAATTCCAGTTCTTCCATTTTCTGCAAAAGATTGTTAGCTTGGAGCCTGGTTTCCCCTTCCCATTAACATCAGAGTACAAATGACTGAGGGTATCAGTGACAGCACTATAACTTTCCAAAATAGCTTCTGTGACTTTTGCATGTGCTGTGCGTCCCACCTAGTGTCTGACAAATATTTAGGCACTTTAGACTGAGGTGGCAAAAATGATTTTAGAACTGCCCATCTCTTTGTGGAAGATGAAAAGAAGGAATAAATTTCATTGATAATGCCAAAACAGTTCACTGCATCAAGGCAGCAATCCACAGCTGAACGACCCATCAGGTTTATAGTGACCTGCTGGCTCTTGTTGCTTCAATGAGTGGTTGATGCATGAAAGCAGTGACTGGTCTTAACTTCATTATCATAGCATTTTTGAGACTCCGTCTCTTGTGCTTGCTAGCACCACTTTCAAATCTTTTACTCATGCTTAATTAGAATCTAAAAACAAAAATAAAAATTACTCTTCAACTGGATAAACTTGGGCTTCTGTCACTCTTCAGTAGCTGCCACCACTTGCTGACTTCCCTATGTCTTTCTTGAGGGGCAGAGAGACCCCTCTGGCTGACTCCTGGGGTTTGGAGATGAAAACCCCTAACTTTGGGTTTCTCCTGGAGGGTTGGCACCTGCACATTTTGGGGCTTTTTCCCTCCCAGGACCCTTCTTAAGGCACTGGTAGCAAGCAGAGCGGGGAGACTCTGTGGTCACAGCACTAGACTGGGCTTTTAAACAAAGAACAAATATTTTCTTGACTATCTGCAAGTAGCAGGATTTTAAACACAAAAGGCCCTTTAAATTAAACATAGAAAAGGAAAACACCACTGGGCACAAATAAAATAGGACAAAACGCAGTTCCTCCAACCCTATACTTATTTTCCCTCAGGATGAGGTCCAGTTACCAACCTGCAGCCTAGCCTCCTGCCTTCTACAGGTAGTTCTGGATCCCTCTGAAGATCCCTTCCCACTGCTGGCTTCCCTGATCCCCAAGGCCTCTCTCTGCCTGTGGGCAATCTGCAGTGCATGCTGCAGGTACCAACAGGGCTCTGTGAAGTGTGAAAGATAGAGCTTGCTTGCCTGGTCTATCTGCCTCAGCTGGCCCCCCACTCGTACTCTCCCACTGATTAAAGTGCAGCACGTACCACTACTGACCTGACCCTTGAGCTGGGGAAGGTTGTTGACTCTGGGCCTACGGGCTCTGGATTCTGAGATGGAAAATTCTGGGAGGCGAGGACACTCAACAGCCCAGCTCGTCGGGGTGCAAGTCCCTGCAGGTCTCTGCGGTTAGCAGAAGAAGGAAGTTCCAGCCAAATACAGGAGCAAAACAGGGGTCAATAGACCACAATCTTTATTGTTGTGCAACAGGTCCCCACACAGAGTAAGAACCCCGAACATGGGTTACAAGCTCTTTGAAAACCTTCCCTCCCTACCAGAATACATGTCCAGAACCATCACTGAGACATCACTGATACATCATCATCATGTCACCAGGAAGGAGGGGAGTCGTGAGGTTACCCAAGTTCATCAACTTGCCCTGTGTCATGAATGAGCCAGCCGCCAGGGAAGGTTTGCGGGCAGCTCCCAGTGAAGGAAGTAGCCAGGAAGCAAGAGAGTTAACTGCCAGACAAGATGAGCATAGCCCAGTGCCAACTCCCCCACCCTTAGGACTGGCAGTTGATAAGAGAAGGACGCAGGCCTGGCCAGGATAAAGAAGGCCTGGCCAGGACGCCGATGGCCCGGCCAGGACAAAGAAAGCCTGGTCTGGACACCGAAAGCCTGGATGCTGAAGGCCTGGCCATGACAAAGAAGTCCTGGGTGGGACAAAAGAAGGCCTGGTCTGGATGCTGAAGGCCTGGCCAAGACGAAGAAGGCCTGGCCAGGACGTAGAAGGCCTGGGTAGGACGAAGAAGGCCTGGCCAAGACAAAGAAGGCCTGGCCAGGACGTAGAAGGCCTGGTCAGGACGAAGAAGGCCTGGTCAGGACGAAGAAGGCCTGGTCAGGACGAAGAAGTCCTGGCCAGGATGAAGAAGGCCTGGTCTGGATGCTGAAGGCCTGGCCATGACGAAGAAGGCCTGGGCAGGACAAAAGAAGGTCTGGTCTGGATGCTGAAGGCCTGGTCAGGACGAAGAAGGCCTGGTCAGGACGAAGAAGGCCTGGTCAGGACAAAGAAGGCCTGGTCTGGATGCTGAAGGCCTGGCCATGACGAAGAAGGCCTGGTCAGGACAAAGAAGGCCTGGTCAGGACAAAGAAGGCCTGGTCAGGACAAAGAAGGCCTGGTCAGGACAAAGAAGGCCTGGTCAGGACAAAGAAGGCCTGGTCTGGATGCTGAAGGCCTGGCCAGGACGAAGAAGGCCTGATGAGGCCCCCTAGATTTAGAGGCCCTAAGCTTCAGACTACTTAGCCTATACATAAATCCAGCACTGAGCGGGGGGCAAGTCTGAGGGATCCACTCCCTGCTCTCGTTTTATCCAATACTCACCGCTAGGGATGTGGAACCCCAGCACATCTGCAAAGAGAAGGACATGGGGACAGGTGAGTTCGTCCCTGAGCCCCTGACAAGGCTATTCCAAGAGTTTTCTCCTGGATTCCAAGTCCTATTACAGGGGAGGGACACCCCAGGCCTTGGGAGCCAATCCTGGCCTCCTGCCCCCAGAACATGGCTCCCCAGGGAAGGTGCCCCTCCCGCTGACAACTGTCCCCCCCGCCTTGCCCCGCAGCCCAGCCCCCTGCTTCCTCCATTGGACCCCACAAAACGGGGTGGTCGCTGGCAGGGTTGGGTTTCCAGACACTGGCTCAGATAGACCTTGGGTTGGATCCAGCCGTCTGGCTCTGTGCATCTTTTGACTAGCTGCCCCCCTAGCCCATTCCTGCCCTCCTCTGTCCCAAAAAGGAGGACCACTTGCTCACCTGACACCATGGGCTGCTCTGGGCCTTGCAGGCCTGTTGCTGCGGCTGATCAGGCATCTTGAACACCTTAACTTAGAAGAGAGGAGCAGAGAGAGTGACTCAGAAGCTGGCAGCCCCAATTCTTGGGGGGCGTTTGTGTGTGAGGAGGGGCGTCTGGCTCAATTCTTTCCATCTCTCTGCAGTTCAGTGACCTGAAAGGGCATCGCCAGAGCTGGAAAGAGGCAGCCCAGAGCATGAATGGCTGGCAGAGAGACAAAGGAGGCCCCAAGTGCTATGGGTTCAAGAGCTCCAGCCCAATGGAAAGACAAGCATTGCCAACTGTTAAAAGGGCTGCTCTGCCTCGTCTTAGGACAGCCCTGCCCTTCCTGGAGAGGGAGGACACCCCTAGGAGGATCCTCCAAGCATCAAGGTGTCCCAGAAGAGGAGCAGAACATGAGGAAGGTGTTGGAATCTTCCATGGAGCCAGAGAGACCCCCAGGAAGGGGGAGAAGGCCGATGTCGTAGGGCAGTTGGAGAGATGCAAAATGGAGCCAGGCATAGGTGTAGCGGTTGGAGGTCTGGACTAGGAGGACCTGGGAGAGCAGGGTTTGAATCCCCACTCAGCCATGAAGCTCCCTGGTGGACCTTGGGCCAGCCTAGCCTACTTTGCAGGGCTGCTGTGAAGATAACAATTGGTGGCAGGGAGATCCATGAAGGCCATCTTGAGCTCCTGGGAGGAAAGTGGTCTATGAATGTCCTAGTAAATGTAAATGATGAGAGGGGAGAGAAAAGGGGAAGGCAGAGAAAGAGTGTGGAGGAGCTGAAAACCAAGCCTGATGAGGAACAGTTGAGGCAGCTGGGTATGTTTAGCCTGGAGAAGAGGAGACTGAGAGGAGAGCCATCTTTCAATATCTGTGGGCTACAAGAGGGAGCAAGCTTGTTTTCTGCTGCTCCAGAGAGGAGGGCAGGAGAGGAGATTCGGACTAAACGTTAGGAAGAACTTTCTGATAGTAAGACTCTCTGGGCAGTGGTGGACTCTCTTTCCTTGGAGGCTTTGAAGCAGAGGTTGGATGCCAGTCTGTGAGGGATTCAGCTGCAATTTGGGGAGTGAATAGCACTGGCCTACTTTACAGGGTTGTTGTAACCACACAGGGCTGCTGAGCATCCAAAAGTTCCTGACAAATGTTGAGCCTTCCATTTCATTGTAGGGAACAGCTGCAGCGCATCAGGAGGCGTCCCTCAACTTCCGTTTCTTCTCTCTCCTGCAGCCAAAGGGGCCGGGCTGAATTACCAAATAGGCAAAGTAGGCACTGGCCTATGGGCCCCACACTTTTTAGGGGTCCCACAACAATGGATCAAAATAATATTGATCTGATCTTGAAAGAAAACGACAATCAAGCTTTCTTAGTTCAATATTATTCCAGCGTGCGCACAAAGCCTGCCACCGCCCAGATTTTGACTGCCAAGGGGCCTCCACAGGGTTTAATCCATCACTCCCCCCCCCAGATGTTGCTGGACTCTCAAGTCCCACCAGCTGAAAACAGCAAGGTTGGGGATAATGGGAGATGTGGATCAATAACATAGAGGGCTGTAGATATAGAGTGCAGGTTTCTCAAGCTCCCTCAGTGGAATCTAGAGACTACCTGGAATCCAGGGCAAGAGGAATGTTTGGCTGATCACGGAGCAAACAGGTCCAGCTAGTCCTGGACATCTTAAATTAGTGGACAGAAGATATACCGTATGCTAGGTCAGGGTGTTGTTACATTGATCCCACCTGATAAGAGACTTGGGACAGGCCAGAGAGATCTTGAAAGCAGATCTTCTCTGCAAGAGCTTCCAAAAGCGTGTATGTTAAACTTTATTTAAAATATGTCTTCTGCCTTTCCCTGTAAGTGTTCTTATAAATAAGAACTGCGAAATACAATACATTCAACTCCCCTCTCACAACAAAAATAGCAAACCATACAAGTATCCCTCCCCAACCTGGTGCCCTTCAGGCGTGTTGGGATTACAACTCCCACCAGTCACAGCCAGCAAGACTGTACAGTGGTACCTTGGTTTAAGAACAGCTTAGTTTATGAACAACTTGGATTAAGAACGCTGCAAACCTGGAAGTAGGTGTTTTGGTTCATGAACTTTGCCTTGGAAGCAGAACATGTTTCGCTTCCTTTTGAGGGTAAATTGCTATGGGAAAGCATGCCTTGGTTTAAGAACGCTTTGGTTTAAGAATGGACTTCCAGAATTAAGTTCGTAAACCAAGGTACCACTGTATTAAAGTGACTGATACATATCCCACATGTATGATGCCTGGGCTGATGAAACCTGCAGTCTCAAATGGCCACGCTAGCTGGAGATGATGCCAGTTACAGTCCAAAACATCCAGAGGGCACCAGCTTGGAAAAGACTGCATACAAAGTTCTTCCCAAGACAGGCATTCTCCAGTCCCCTTTCCCCACTGTGCAAATAAATAGGTTGTGTGTGTGCATTTTTGTGCATCACAGATTGCAATGCACAAGTGTGGAGTTGGCCTTGGGGAAGGAATCCAGCATGTTGGCCTGCCTTTGATAAAAACAAGAGAGGTGATAATAGGGTCACTAAATTGTATGTCTTTGGTGGGGAATAAGCAAATCTTGTGAGGACTGGTCTCCCAATTGTGATGAGCCATGAGAGCTGCGTGTAGAGCCTAACTGTTCAGGAGCAGTCTACCCCCTGGTTAGCAGACGCTGGAGACAAACAACAAAGAATGGCTACTGCCTCCAAGCCTTGTCAATTGGGCTTGCCAAAAACATCTGGCTGGTTGGGGAGAGAGTTCAAGGTTAGCTGGATCTTTGGTCTAATCCAGCAATACCAATTTTAAAGTTTCTATGGCTGCGGAGATAAGGCTATCAATGGCTGCTGACCTACAGCTGTAGGCAGTAATGCTTCTAGATAACACCTGCTGGGATGCGCAGGTAATGAGAGCATTGTCACACTCAGGTTCTGTTTTAGGTAAAGTTGCCAGATTTTTTTCAATGAATCCGGGGACACTTTTCAACTTCAATGGATTTTGTATGGGGACTGATCTGTAAATCCAGGGATTGTCCCCAGGAAACTGGGACGTCTGGTAACCTTATTTTTAGGGCTTCCCAAAGGCATTTGGTTGTCCTCTGTAAGAAATGGGTAAGAAAGGATGTTTAGAATAGTCTTCTCCCAAAAGCCTGAAGCGTTTCTTTTGGAAATAGAAGGGACAGGGGTCCCTCCAAAGAGTTGGTTAAAACTGTTTATGTTCGCTACCAATGCAGACAGAATTATGTTCACACAGAAATGGAAGGAAAAAGAAGTTCCAACAGAAGAGGAGTGGACTTTGAAATTATTGGACTGTGGCAAAGAATCCAAAAATATTGGACTACGGCAAAAATGACAGCAAAATAAGAGACCAAAATGAAGAAACGCTTGTAGAAGAACGGAGATCCTTTTCGGATTATCTGAGAAAATATTAAAGTCAAATGAAATAGCAGGCAGGACTTGAAAGGAATGGGAATGATAAAGCAATGTGTGTTTTAATGAAATATTACATTAATGGCAGTAGATGAATGATTTGAATAGAAGCATCGTGGAAGGAAGGATGGAAAGTCAAAAATTTAAGGGAATATTGTATTAAAATTGAGTTGAATTGGTTAAATGGCTTGAAAATTAATAAAAATGTATGGGGGGGGGGGAGAATGTAAGGAAAGCCCTACAGGATCAAACCAATAGTGTATCTCAGAGGTTTTTGACCTCAGCCGCCTCCCCTCTCCTTGCAAATCCTCAGGCAGCCGCAGCCCCTGGTCTCTGAACTGCCCCATCCACCCCATAGAGACGTGCATCCTTACATTGCCCCACAGGGGCCTGGGAAGCATCCCCTGGCCAGCCCCAAAGGCACCATTCGCCTGCAGAGCTTGTAACCAGGGCTGCTGCAACAAACAGCTGTGAAAGCTTTTGGGAGGAAGACGCAAGAGGGGATCAGAGGAGGGAGGGGAGGAAAGAGGGACAGAGGCCAGTGTTGCCCGCAGCACCCCTGGCTATCATTTAAGGCACCCGAGGTCCCACAGCACACTAGTTGAAAACCACTGGCCTATCTAGTTCAGCACTCTGTCTTCAAAGTGGGCCAACCCAATGCCTTTACTGGGAAGCCCATAAGCAGAACCTGAACACAACTCTCACTGCTTGCAAATTTCAGCACACGCAGGGAGAACATGGTGGCCAGTGGTGTGATCCAGCCAGCTCTTTCTGCTCTTATGGAAGGGCGTGGAGGGGAAAGCAGGGAGAGAAGCTGATTTATGGCTTTAGCGTTTCAAATAAGTCCTTCCCTTCACCTTTCACAACTCCCATTTAACAGAAGTAGGTTTGCAAATAAGGGCTTTTCATTTGCATGATTCAGCCAGTTGATAGAATCTGGGTTTTGAGGCAGCATAGTTTGGGTTAAAACAAAAAAAACTTTTCCTCCTGATGCCTGTGCAATATATTCAAATTAAGATGAATCATCCTGTTTGTTGAAAACCACCAACACACACTCCCTTGCTCACCTTGCCTGGGTGGGGTCAGCCAGGAAGCAGAGCATTCAGGTTACAAATTGGCAGAAATTAACGTTTTAAGCTCCACCCGTGGTTTTTGGCTTTTCTAAATTGGAAATGTGTTCTAGCCCTTTAAATTTTTTTCTGGTTAAAGATATATGCCCCACCCACCTACCTGGGCCAGGTGTACTCCTTGACAGCCAGTCCATAGTGAGTACATATCCAAACCCCAAACTGGGCCAATCAGAACGAAGGGAGAGAGCAGCAGAGCAACCAATGGCAGAGTGGGAATGGCTTCCTAAGGCTGTGCTACCTGACTGCTGTACCTGAAGCTGGTTAAACCCAGGAAATCGCAGAGTAGTGAGATCACCTGCTTCTTTTGGACCCAGAGGAAAGAGGCACAGGTGTGTCCTCACCTGCTTTCTTGTGGGGTACCTGAACTCCTCAGGAGCTTGAAGTCACTATGCGGGCCAAGGATGATGAATATGATTACCTCTTCAAAAGTAAGTTTTTTCCTCTTTTTTCAATTTCCTGGCCTTCCTAAGAGTTGCAAACTCTTATTCTTTTGTTTTTTAGGGCTTGGGGGGTGTTAACAGGAGAAAAGCTTCTGTCCAAACACCATCATTACTTAGCTGCTGATGTGTGCTGTTTTAAAACTCTTATATTGCTCCACTCTTCTTCCAAAAAGTGTATTTTGTACTCAAAAGGCAGATTTTATGTATTTGCTTCTACCCTAAGAGAGAGCAGACCCCACAACTTGCCTATGAAATGTCTCACATACAGTAATGTAGAACCTATGTAAAACTCTGCCCCATTCATGAAAAGTTGTTGGGTAACTCCAGCCACCTCTGATCCCCCCCCCCCATAAGCCCTGTGCTGCGGCCCCACAAACATCCAATGTTTCCTCATTTTTTTATTTACACCCATCTAAACTTGGGTGTCTAAGAGAGACATCAAGTTTAAATGGACCTCAGTAAAAATGGGGAAAGATTGGGCTTTTGTGGGTCTACCCTGCAGGGCTGTGGGGAAGAAACAAAGGTGGCTGTTCCATATTTCAGCCCAGTTTCTTTCCTCCCCTCCCTGCAACCAGGATTCATACAACAGCTGACAATTCTTTGCCCCAACCGTGGGTCTCTCTGCTGCTCCCTGTTCTAAATTTTATTATTTAACTTACTTTAGGAATAATGTCCCAAGGTGTTAATGGGACTCTGTTTTGGGGCCAGGTGTTCTCTGCTGATAATTTAGGCCCTCCAGACGTTTTGAGTAATCATTTGTGGTACATTTTGTTTGAAGAAATTAGGGAGAACTTTGCTTTTTGTTTTTCATCTTCCTATTCTGCCCTTCCTCCTAAAGGAGCCCAGGGTGGCAGCTTAGCCAAATATTGGGGAAATGTGACACTGGGGGGAACTAATGGCCTGAGTTGCATTCTGCTCCCTGCCCTTTAAAATTGATGCTAAAACTGTAGCTTAAGTGTTCTTTTTTTTTTAATGATGCAAAAGGGACCTGACACACGTCTGGGGAAATGGTAGGACGTGGTGAAATTCAGGTTTGGCAAGGCTTGTGCTGTGTCTATGAATCTCAACAAAACACCTGAGATCTCTCTTCCCTGGGTTTTAAAAACCCAGGAATTTGAACTGAGGGTTGCAGGGGTGTCTAATGAAACTGAAAAACCAAATTGGCCCATAGAACTGTACTTTATTGGTTTGTCTAAGTCTTATTTTTCGAAACAAGTTTGGAAAGTTTCTCTGGCCTTGCTGCTAGATAGCCCTGTCTGGCAAGCCACCTTTGAAAGCTGGTTTGTTTAATTTTACATTGTCTTGACCTTCAACTCTCCCTCCTCCTCCCAGGGGCCAGCTCTACCATTAGGCAAAATGAGGCAAGGTGTCTCAGGCAAGAGATGCAGAGAGCAGGGAGGGCCCTGGAAGAAGCCCCTCATCCCCTGCTCCCATTTCTCCTGAGTCTCCTAAGTTAACAAGCTCTGTGGCCCCTGCTGCCCTGAGGTATAGCACAGGACCATTGCTGAAATAAGATTGAACCTCAGTCCAGTCAGATTCTGTACATCGTGTGTGTGTGTGTGTGTGTGTGTGTGTGTGTCAGGGAGGTGTGGGCATCCTATAGTTTTCTACAGGCCGAAAAATATTTCATAAAAATATTTTTATATATTGTGGACTGTGAGAAAAAGCACACTCAAAGCAGTTTAAGACTGGGCTAACCCTGCCGCCGCTGCCGCCGCCTCCATCTGCAAACTTGGAATAACTGTACTGGCCTACTTTATAGGGCTGTTGTGAAGATTAGGGAGGGACCAATGATGAAACACTTCCAGCCCCCTCTGCTGCACAAGCCCAAGCATCATCATGAGCTACCTTGGGAATATTAAAGCCAGAAGCTCAGAAATGCCACTTTCCAGATGTCTGAATAACAATACATGTCTCTTTGCTTTGTATTATGAGAGCCATTCTTCCAGAGGCAGGTTCCTTAGTAACTCTTGGGTGTTGGAAATGAGATTATCTGAAGAAGGAGGGACAGAGAGTGATGGATGTTGCTGGAGTTTGGGCTGACTTAAGACTTGTTACCTGAGGTGTCCCCTCATTTGGTTCTTACTTCAACACTGAAGTCTTCTAGAGCAGTGGTTCCCAATTTGGGGGTCCATGGCACCATTCACATAACCAAAACTACCATAGAGATATCATTTTTTTTCAAAAGTCCATGGCTTGGCTCTTGAAAAACAGGAGGTCTGCAGCACTTAGCTAATTGGCAATGACTGATCTAGCTCACCTGGAGGCAGCGAGCTATTTTAGCGGCTGTAGCACCACGGCTTTGATCTCCAACAAAGGGGAACAGCAAGAGGTTCAGGAAAAATGGCATGGGTTTTGTTTTTGCTATCACTGCCTCTCCCGGATCCACCACCTGAGGCAATTTTCCCACCCTGTCTAATGGTAGGGCCAGCCCTGAATGGAGCTGCACAAGGAATATGGGGGAAGGAGGTTGCCTGGACCCTTAACCAGCCCTACTTTTTTTGTTTTTTTTAATTAAAGTTGGTTCAAATGGTTGCAGTCTAAAGCGGCTGCCATTGGTTTTACTTAGTTTTACTTTTACATTGGGAGTCATTTTGGACTCACAGCTGTCCATGGAGGCACAGGTCAAATCTGTGTCCAGGGCAGCTGTTTACCAGCTCCATCTGGTACGCAGGCTGAGACCCTATCTGCCTGTGGACTGCCTCGCCAGAGTGGTGCATGCTCTGGTTATCTCCCGCTTGGATTACTGCAATACGCTCTACGTGGGGCTACCTTTGAAGGTGACCCGGAAACTACAACTAATCCAGAACGCGGCAGCTAGACTGGTGACTGGGAGTGGCCGCAGAGACCACATAACACCTGTCTTGAAAGACCTACATTGGCTCCCAGTACGTTTCCGAGCACAATTCAAAGTGTTGGTGCTGACCTTTAAAGCCCTAAACGGCCTTGGTCCAGTATATCTGAAGGAGCGTCTCCACCTCCATCGTTCTACCCGGACACTGAGGTCCAGCACTGAGGGCCTTCTGGCGGTTCCCTCACTGCGAGAAGCCAAGTTACAGGGAACCAGGCAGAGGGCCTTCTCGGTAGTGGCGCCTTCCCTGTGGAACACCCTCCCACCAGATGTCAAAGAGAATAACAACTACCAGGCTTTTAGAAGACATCTGAAGGCAGCCCTGTTTCGGGAAGCTTTTAATGTTTGATGTATTATAGTATTTTAATATTCTTTTGGAACCCGCCAGAGTGGCCGGGGAAGCCCAGCCAGATGGGCGGGGTATAAATAATAAATTATTATTATTATTATATTATTATTAGTTTCCCACTTTTAATATCCTGCCTTTCTCTCAAGCAGGATATTGCTGTTCCCCTCTCTTTGTCATCCTCACAACAACCCTTTGAGGTTGGTTAAGCTGAAAGGCATGACTGACCCAAGGTCAGCCAGTGAGCTTTGCAGGCTAGCCACAGACAGGCTGGCACTCTGACTTGTGTGTGTAAATTGGTTTGTTCTTTGAAAACATCAGTATATCACTCTGAGCCATCAAGTTTACAGGAGAAATTCCTGCGTCACTTGATTATGTTCACCTCAAATGCAGTGCTCTAAAACCAGCCTTTGCCAGCCAAATGTTTTGGACTACAAGACTCACATTAGACCTGGGGCTGGTGGATGATGTATTCAAAATGGTGTTAGTTGGGGGTTGATGAGTAAGGCTATCTTAGCCAATGTTATTCTGTTAGGATGCTTTTAGATCCAAATACTGATAGCCCATCCAGATATCCATCCAGATATCCATTTTATTGTGCGTTCATATGCAGTCCTTGCTTCTAATACTGTTTTGGAGCAGACTAAGGCCCCATCTGTACAATACATTTAAAGCACTATAATTCTAGGAGGTGTAATTTGTTAAGGGTGCTGAGAGTTGTTAGGGGACCCCTGATTCTCCTCCCAATGATTGAAATTCCCCAGGTGCCTAGCACGTTTTGCAGCCTGCACGGGTTCCACTGCGACCAAGTGAGGATGCAATGCCACCAGGTTTGGTGACTGACATCTCCAGCATCTGGCTGTTCTGCAGCAATGTTTTCTGCTGTTGCACGCACCCCTGCGCGCCCCAGCATCAAAAGACACTGCTGTGCACCAGCCGGCTGATCTTGTCACTATTTTATTCTGGATTGTTTTATTTGATGTTTTAATGTGTTGTAAACCGCTTTGAGATTTTTTTCTCTGAAATATAAAGCAATATAGAAATAAAATGAAATGAAAAATAATAATAAAAAATATGAAACATGGGGGGTGGTGACCGTAACATAGATTTAAGGTGCCATTTGATAATTAGCTAATATATCTAACACTGCCCCCTCCCAGAGCTACAATTCCCAGAATAGTTCACAATGATGTGTGGATGATCCAGGATAAATAGACCACCAGCACTCTATTATTGCATCAGTGACATGTTGCAGAATGTAAAAACCCAGGGGGAGCAGGGTATCCCAGTTCTGGAGGGTCTCTGTGGGTGAAGCCAGACCCAAGACCACTTGTAGGCTGAGCAGCTGAGGCACTCCCTGCTTACATCTTGCTGCTAGCCTTGAAGCTCTTGTGGGAAGAGGAATTTCATCCAAATGAGTCAACGATTGCTCATGGACTGAAGTCACTGGATTTCACTTCTGATGACTCTGCTTCCTTTTCTTTGAAAAAGCCGGAATGACGGCTTGTGTTGCTACACACCTCTTTTTTTAATAATAATTTAAAAAACCCTTTCACCTTCACTTGCTCATGTTCCACACCCAGAGAAGGGTTCACAAACAGTCCTTTTGTATTCTGAGGAACAGGGATAGGTAGCTGGTGGTTGGCAGTGGGACAGGAAGGGCTTCCAAATCAGGCATGTGAAGGGGAGGCATTGACTGCCTGGTTTCTCCCTGGGTTGGCTCACTTTGCGTGGAGGGCGGGTGGGGTGGGGGGGACAGGAATCCAGTCATTCCTGTTTCGTAGCATTTTTACCTGGATGGGCTTGTGAAGCAGCATTTCAGCTCAGGGAAAGCAGGTGTGCTTCATTCTCCGCCAAGGTAGGCCTTGGTTCTCTGGGCCTAAAGAACCCATCCAGAATGATGCCCATTTTATCCTGCTTGTGCTCATTGGGGTTGTTATATAGGCCATCCCACTACTAACATGGTTTGCACTTGCAAACGTTTTGAGGCAGACACGAACTGTTTTATTTCCAGTCGCTACATGTCCTGCTGAAATCATAAGAAGAGCCTGCTGGATCAGGCCAATGGCCCATCTAGTCCCACACCCTGTTCTCACAGTGGCCAACTAACTGCCTGTGGGAATCCAGCAAGCAAGACCCAAGCACAAGAGCCCTCTCCCCTCCTGTCCTTCCCAGCAACTGGTATTCAGAAGCATCATTGCCTCCAGCTGTGGAGACACTCAGCACAGCCATCATGGCTAGTGGCTGCCAAGAGCTCTCTCTTCCATGAATTTGCTCAATCCTCTTTTAAAGCCATCTCAGGTTGGTGGCCACCACTCCCTCCAGTGGGAGGGAATTCCATAGTTTAACAACATGCTACATAAAAACAGGCGCGGAGCTACCTGCCCCGGCACCTGGAGTGGTGCGGGGGCGGGGCTAGCCACCCGCACGACAAGTGGGGGGGCGCTTTCCGCCCACACAGCAAGCGTTGGGAGGGGCGCTGCTAGCCACGCAACAAGCGTTGGGAGGCGCCACTAGCCGCCCGTGGCAACATCATCCCTAGCGGTCCGCCGCCCGTGCAGCTAGTGTCCGGGGCGCCGCCCGCACAGCAAGGGGGAGGTGGTGCGGCAATGTCACCTGCCCTCATGGCTGACACCCAGTGCGCACCGCACCCCCCCGCACCCGCCTTCCTCCGCCAGTGCATAAAGAGCTTTCTTTTATCCACCCTGAATCTTCCAACATACACCTTCATGTACAGTGGTACGGTTACATACGGTTCAGGTTACATACGCTTCAGGTTACAGACTCCGCTAACCCAGAAATAATACCTCAGGTTAAGAACTTTGCTTCAGGATGAGAACAGAAATCGTGCTTTGGCGGCGCGGCGGCAGCAGGAGGCCCCATTAGCTAAAGTGTTGCTTCAGATTAAGAACAGTTTCAGGTTAAGTTAAGGTGCTTCAGATTAAGAACAGTTTCAGGACCTCCGGAACAAATTAAGTTCTTAACCCGAGGTACCACTGTATATGAGAGAAGGAGGAAAACTTCATCCACTTTCTCCATGCAATGAGGAATTGTTTACAATTCTGTTAGGCCGCCTCTTAACTCACCTTTTCCCTAAACCAAGAAGTCCCAAATTTTGCAGCTTTTCTTCAGAAGGGAGTCATAACTTTTTTAAGCACAAATGTGTTGGGGGTTTTTTGGTCCTACTTCTGTTGTGCACTACAGCACCAAAGTGCCTCTCCAGACAACAATAATGCGGTATCATTCAGGAAGCATCACAGAACAACAAATAAACTGGGGGATGTGTGGACGTTCCGTGGGAAGAGGGAATTATTGTTACAATCATTCTGGAAACTGTAGCTCTGTGAGGGGGATAGGGGTTTCCTAACAACCCTCAGCAGCCTAACAAACTACAGCTTCCATAATTCTTTGGGGGAAAGCCGTGAGTGTTTAAAGTGGTATCACAGTGCTTCAAATGTATGGTGTGGATGTGGCTACCGTTGGGTTTGCAACCTCACTGAGAACTAGGACCCTCTTGAGTCCATCTTCTTCCTGGTGTTGTAGTGCTGCTAGGGTTGCCATATTTCAAAAGGTAAAAATCCTGACACCCACAAAGTTGTTGATAGTGATTTTAAGCTTTTGGAGCTGTTTCCACTGCTTTCTCCATTGCGTTGCCATACATTTGGGTTTTTCCTGACATTTTGCCGATTTGGCAAAATCCCCGACACAATTTTTACACCATTTTTTAAAAATAGGACATGTCAGGAATTTTCCTGACGTACAGCAAGCCTAGGTGCTGCCAACTTTGAGGACAGGAAGCCTTAATCAGAAACTCTTTCCAGTGCATCACTGCCTAATTATGTTGGTGATTAGGAAGAAGTCTGTGGTTAGGAGATTTGGGGTTGTGTGCTACCATTTCCTGTTGACTGACAATCCTGGGGTTCCTGTGGATTGGACTTAAAAGAGGCTTTAAGTTACACTTTGTGATTCTGTTTTGCATGTTTGTCTGTTTGTTTGTTGACAAAGTAATAATCATAAATAAATAAGAATAAAAATGTGCACCCTACCCACTGTTCTAGCTATCCAACCTCCCAAAATTTCAACACCTCTTGCGATGGTTTGACCCCTTTCTGTTTTAACAGCACAAATTCTACAAACACCCTCCATATCTCCTCAAAATCATTACTCCTGCATATTCCCCGTCTTACTTTAATGGCACATGTTAGTTTATCATTAATAGCTATATCTCACACCTCTTTATACCATGCGTCCATTTTATATTCTGCTTGCCCCTTCCACTTCCTAGCTATCATAATTTGTGCAGCTGTCAATAAATTTATGAGCAAGTCCTTCATAGCCTGTGAACCTTCCACCCCATCGTAAATTGATAGTAACAGTTCTGCATGTTTGAGAGAAAGAGTTCTGCAAAATATGCTGGTTGCTTCCCCCACCCCACAAATGTTCAAAGCAGTATGTTAGATGTGGGAGCATCCAAACGTGTAACACCCCCCCTCCCCAGTAACCCAAAATAGTACAGTCCAGGAAAGACTTCTACACATTCTGCAGAACCGAGTGTCAAACCTTTTGCCTTATCCTTCCGTTTCTAGCCTTGAACCTTTGGAACAACATTTTGCCATTTCCCTTCCCTCTGCCATTAGCATTCTGATGCTTAATTGTCTTCTCCCTATTTGTTACCTTGTTGTTTCTTTGCAGTTGTCCTCATCGGAGACTCGGGAGTAGGGAAAAGCAACCTCCTTTCTCGGTTCACCCGAAATGAGTTCAACCTGGAGAGCAAAAGCACCATTGGGGTGGAATTTGCCACACGAAGCATCCAAGTGGATAACAAGACAGTGAAGGCCCAGATCTGGGATACTGCCGGGCAGGAGCGTTACCGTGCCATTACTTCTGCGTATGTACTGCCTTGCCTTCTCATGTTGCAGTGGGAAACCCCAAAGTGCAGTCTTCTTGGCGAAATCCCATAGCCACGCTTCTCAGGCTATTCAATAAAAATGCAGTTTGGACCAATGCAGACATTACAACTTTGGGGTCCTAGTCAGACCACTGTTAAAGAGCTTCCAATGGTGCTGTTCTTTGCTTTGTAAATACTGTTGTGGACTAGGGGAATTCTGATAATGGGCAGGGGAAAGTAGGCCAGGAAAAGCTAAACTATACTTACTTTATTGATGTCTAAATTTCTGTCCTGCTTTAATGCTGGCACCTCAAGATGGCTAAATGGAAAAACCCAATTTCTCTTTTAAACCCCCCCCCCCAACTAAAAATGGCTTGGAAGATTAAATAACTAATTCGGCAAGGGAAATCAGAAGTCATAAAAGCAATGAATTGTGCCATTAAAGAACAAGGTGGATTTCACCAGGAGCCTAAAAGACAGCAGTGAGCATGCCTGGTGAGCAGGAAGGAGTTCACTGAGTGCAGCTCCCTCTCCAAAAAATACTCCCCCCCCCCTCCGACAGTAGACCCCTGATAAACTGTGGGTAGCACCCAGAGCATCCCCTAATACGCAGGCAGGTTCATGTGGGAGAAAGGGGTCCTTTTGTTACCTCTGCAGCCAAGCAAAGACCTCAAACTGGCCCTTGGATGTAGGTTAGTGTGGCTCTTAATATACTAGCAGCGAGACAGCTAAGGAGGTTGTTGTTGCTGCTGCTATTGTTGTTTACCTGCCCTTAACCCTAAGGTCCCAGGGCAGGTTATGACAATTACAACATTGGAAACAGTCTAAATTTAACAACTTAGAATCACAGAAATAGGAACGGTCCTTAAAATGCACATCTCAGGTGCCAAAGCCCAGGGTGAAGAGTTGCATCTTCACCGCATAGCTGCAAATGCTGAAGGTGCCAGGCCCATTCTCCTGTGTGGAGGGAGTTCCACAGTTTAAGAGCTGCCACAGAGAAGACCCTGTCCTGAGCCTCCACCATCCCAAGCTTCTGAGGTGGAACTACAGTGGAACTACAATAAGACCTCGTCTACTGGTCTTAACACCCTGGAGGGTCTGGAGGGATGGAGACTATCTCAGTTATTTGGGGCCTGAACATCTTGTATTGGGCCTGGAAATGAACTGGCAACCAGCGCAGCTGTTTTAAAGCAGCTGTGATCTAAATGGAACCCCAGCCGCTAATCTGGCTGCTGCATTTTGGACCACAATCTGTCTTCAAGGGCAGTCCCACATAGACCTCTTTGTAACAATGTAACCTGAAAGTTACCAGAGCATGGAGTACAGTGGCTAAGTCGTCTCTGTCCAGAAAACATTCCCAAAGGGCCACCCAGATTATATCTATATCTGTATCTATATCTGTATCTGTATCTGTATCTGTATCTGTATCATCTATATCTATATCATCTACATCTATATCTATATCATCTACATCATCTATATCTATATCTATAGCATCTACATCATCTATATCTATATCTATATCTATATCTATATCTATCTATCCATGTAGGGGCTAAATTTACTTAGGTGCCCCATGTTTGAGGAGGCCAGTTCTAGTTGGCAATCTGGTCACCACCAGGTTTGGAATTACTTGCAATTTCTTGGTTGTTTTCAAGGGCAGTCAGCTGGCATCCAATCAGAAAGGAATTGTGGGGTGGGGGCTGTGTGCAGACCATACTGTTGTCCAATTGGAATGGGAGTGGGAAATGGGGTCTTGTGTTGTGGACATGGCATGTGATCAAGGATGAACTTCCACAGAGGGGTGTGGGATCCTTGTGCACACTGTGTGAGGTCTCTGAAGGTGCTGTGAACTTAGTTCTTAAGGTAGATAAAAAGTAGGTTAAAAAAGATTCCAACCCCATGCAGTAAAGGTTGGATGCAAGACTCCCCACCCCGCAATTGATCAACAATTTGGCAAATGCTCCTTAGTTTTGTCTGGACAAAGCTTCAATTTATTAGCCCTTTTTAAACTCCAGACACCTGTTCCAAGGAATCCAAAGCCACCATCAGGGTCTGATAGAAAGGAAAGTCAGAGCTAGATTTTCTTAGTGTATTCTCAGTCCTGTGACTCCTCCCAGTGGTTTCATGTGGGTATTAGACCGCATGGATGAACTTTATTCATTGCCAACCCATGATATCCCAGGAGCAGAGCAGAGTGTTTCCCCACCATCACGAGATTGTCAGTTGCCAAGACAATTCTAAGTTTGGAATGGGTTTTTCAAAATCGCCTTCCTTGCTCTGAAAAGATTTCTCTTTGGCTTCTGTGACTGTGAGAAGGGCAGAGGTTTTGCAGGGACAAAAAGGCAATCCTCATTTACTTAAGGAAGGTGTTTTATTACAAGTAGGCAAAAGCCTCCAAGTTTAAAACAACTGTCAGCTGCACAGTTTCTGGTGCCAGCTGCTAGTGGACATTAAATCAAGCACTGAAAGTCTTGGGCTTGGTGAAAAGGTTCAAGAACAGCCTTTGCCAATGTGGTTCTCTCTGGATGTTTGAGAACAACTCCCATCATGACTTGGCTGGCTGGAGCTGATGTGAGTTGTAGTCCAAAACATAAAACTCATTCCACATTTGTAAGAAATCTCACTTTGAAACTCACTGCAACCACCTTTGCTGTTCTCTTTTCTGTGCCTGCTAAAAACATTTTTGTTTAGGCCGGCCTATCCAGAAATGCAGAACACGTGCGTTTTAATCTGTTTTCAGTATGTCACTGGTTTTAATTGTTCTTTGAATAGTTGATTTTAACTGTTCGTATTGATATTTTTGCTGTCCTGTTCTTTTTGTAAACCGCTTGGAGGTTTTCTTTCCTACAGTCAAGCAATATATTAATGTTACGAAATAAATAAATAAAATGTATTTCATGGGCTATGCAGTTATTTGGAAAGTGAAATTGGTAATGGATGGTTATTTTTTACGACGGGTGGGGGGGGTGGCATTCAGTGTTGTGCAGCAAGCTTAGTTTTTACCTCCCCCTTCCCCTTCCACCTTCTGATCCCACTGCAGTTACTACCGGGGGGCAGTTGGGGCACTTCTTGTTTACGACATCGCCAAGTACCTGACCTATGAGAACGCAGAGCGCTGGCTCAAGGAGCTGCAGGACCACGCTGACGCCAACATCGTCATCATGCTGGTGGGCAACAAGAGCGACTTGCGGCATCTGCGGGCAGTGCCCACCGATGAGGCCAAGAGCTTTGCAGGTACCTCTCTGCCCCATTCCTTCCGCCTCCTCCTTTTACTTGCCCTGGTGAGGCAGGGTCTCCAGGGCCACCTCCCTAGACTCTGCACAAGGCACTGTGTATATCTGTGTTTTTATTCGTTTCTGTTTTATACATAATGGCTTTCACCAACCTGGTGCCCTCCAGGGTTCGTTGGACTCAAGCTCCCACCAGCCCCAGAGTTGTTTCCAAAAAATATTTGGAGAGCTACATGTTCCCCACTCACTGTGTTACAGCTGCAGGGACTAGAACCTTGAATTTATTTTTTCTTAAGAAAAACAAAATAAGGCTGGCTTTCTTGGGATGCCACTTCTGAACCAGATTCTAAATTTCAAACTTTTGCTGTGCCTGTGTGGCATTGTGGAACCCAAGTAGCCCTCATTATAAAGAAATGAAGGGTAGATATGGGTTGTTGCGGTTACGTGTTGTCAACAGAGCAACAGTCTTGATTTCCTCAAGAGGCAGCTGCTATAGTTACAATCCCTCTGTCTTCATACATCTGGATATTCTGGGGAGCTGAGCCCTGAATCTGCTTGCTAATGTGAAGCCTCAAAATGTCTATTGTTGGGATGTGCAGAATGCATTTCCATCCTAGTTGGCCAACCCCAACAATCCAGCAGGCCTTTCTCATGTTCTTATGTTCCCACAGAAAAGAATGGCTTGTCATTCATAGAGACGTCAGCTCTGGATTCCACCAACGTTGAGACTGCCTTTCACAACATCCTAACAGGTAAGCCGTTATGTGGGGTAGGGTGAACTCGCAGATAAACTGGCTTGTGCAACTGCTTGCCTGGTGGAGAATTCTGGAGCACTTGAAAACTTCAAATACTTCTGTGACATATGGGCTGGTCCCAGCAAAGGTATTACACCAACTGGGAATATTTGCAGGTTTTTGGTTTTTTTTAAATGGACCTACAACAGCGACCTATTGCTTCTTACCTAAGAAATAAGCTGTTCTTCTGCTCTCCAAAACACACCATCCCCCATCACTGCACTAGCATCATCTGTCTGCATGACTTCATCTTCTCCGCTTTTTGCTCTCCAGAAATCTACCGGATCGTGTCCCAGAGGCAGATTGCTGGTGGGCAGCCGGAGACGGAGTTCAGCGCCAGCAGCACCATCGAGCCGATCAAGGTCCTGCCTACCCACCAGGAGGGCCGGCAAGCCCCTTGCTGCCAGAACATCTAGCCTGCAAAGACTGCAACGAGGAAGTGAAAGGGGAACAAGGAAGGCCAAATAGTCTCTGGTACCTCCAAGGGGGAAAGTGATGCTCCAGGCAAACTCCTCTTTTTCTTCTTCTGGTACCCAACGTCCACCATGCTACTCTGCTTCATGTAGGTCAGAAACACATAACGGATCGTGTTCGTCTTTAGATGTGGGGAAACGTTGGTGTCAATGGGTGCTTTTCGGACCACCTGAGAGACACCCCATCCCAATTCCACAGCTTTCTTCCCTGAGAGGTGGCTGCTGGCATGAGGAAGTTGGTGGGTCGCAGGGATGGCGCTTGCCACACCAATGGCCCTTTGAAACTATTTTCCTGACTAGCATATATTACATGGTTTAAGTAGAGCCTTTTGCTAACATAGGGGGTCATGGCATTCAACACTATATGTCTGGAATGAAAAGGGATTGAGCTGGTTGGGCAGCCCACTTCTAAACCAAAGGTAGAGTGGACTCACTATCATGGCTTCATGGACCGTGGTTTTCAGGGGTTTTTTAAGTTGCTGAATGTTAAATAAAAACAACAACAACTCCTTTGCTCCCTCCTAATTACAACTCTTTGAGGGAAGCCATGGTGAATTAAGCCTGGTTCCCCCCCCCCCAGTTGGTTCTGTCATACAGACATGCCCTCCCCACCCAAAAAATTTGAGGGGCTCTGTTGAGGTACAAAAGTCGGGCTGTTGAGTAAGCCTCAGCCTGTGTAAAGAAGCCCAGGAATTGAGGCAAGGCCCGAGGCCTGCCTCGCTTAGAAGACAGTGAACTTTAGCCGTCCTGTGGCTTGGCAGCAAAATGGCTTTGTATCAACAAGCAAATAGGAGTTGCTTCTGAGTGGTGACTGTTCTGGGCATGCCAGTTGGCTTTAAAGCACAACTCGCCAGTCAGGTTGCATTTGTGAGGGCGTCTGTCACCTCCACCTTCACCATAGCAGCAGAAAAGCCTCCCGGCCTGGTTTGATCACACCCTATGTTGGCTCATCGCATTGGGTGACAGCTTCCTGCAGATTTTAATCCAGCAAATTGGTATATTTCCCTGCTGCCCCTTGTGCTGTTTTAAAGACCCAGGTTCCCATTAGCTTCATGTCTCACGAGGCCTCGCAAAGCAAGTTTGGGAAATGGGAAGCCCAAAGCAGCAACAAGTAGCCTTTTGGGGACCATGAATGGAGCTGGAGTTTGCATCCTTTCTCAGCCTTGGAGAAAATGGCTGACCCTCAGGATGGAGAAGGAAGAAGTTGGTCAGAGTTGTTTTTCCCCTCCCCTCCCTATTTTGACTTTGCTACCTTTTCTGGAGTGATCAACCGGTAAAGATGAGAGTATGCTGATGGTTAGATTCTCGTGGCTTTCTCTTGGTTTTGCTCCCAACAGCAACTTTTGTGTAAATAGTAGGCTATTGGGAGGGGGGTATTTTAATGTGTGAAATTGCCTTCCTTTCATTTGCTTTGAAACTTGTGTTGTTGTTTTGTGGGGTCTTGACATCTGTGTGTGCTACGTGTTTAAATAAAAGCTATTTGTTTTATTGTATTGTGATTATTTAGTACACTTTTATCCTACCCTTTTCTCTCCAAGGTGATTGAGGTTCTCTCTCTCTACCCATCCATTTTACCTTCACAATAACCCTGTGAGGTGGGCTAGGCTCAGATATGCTGAGATTCCTGGCCGATTTGGGTATTGAACTCCCAGGCCCTAGTATTGCACTCTGAAGTGTGACATTATACTGGCTCTAATAATACATTTTGGCAGTATGAGTGGTATTTGAACCTGCAGCACTTGCGCTCAAAACAGTTTCCTGGCGTTATAGCACACACACAGTGAGGCATGGAAAACTGGATGGACCTAAAGCACTTCTAAACCAGGGTGGAGAGCAGAATGGAGAGCAGTTGCTGAGAAGCTGCTCTGTCCCAAGTGTTTCTCCATAGCTCATATGGAATTATGCTTCCTCACGCTTTGCCATTGCGGAGCCTTTTCTTGGGGGGGAGAGCTATTTGCCATGCTGTAGTTCACAGCACCACCTGTCTGTGCCCAAGCAAACTGCAGTGTGATAACACCCTTAAGACAATATATGACAGGAGAAAACATTTGATTTGCACTACACCTTACCTTGGAAAATCAGATAACTCAAAACAGCCTGTTACACATCTGCAGTCACTGTTAGTGTAGAAGCTCATTAGTGTAGATCCTTTTTGGTGGGTGTTTTGTTACATGTGTGGTGGTGTTTCGGTGGCTGTTCTCTAGTGCCACATCCGCTGCTTCTGTCTGCTCCTTACCTGGGCATAGCTTAGCCTTTTTGTTCCCAGTTGCCCAGATGATACAAGTGTGCCTTTTCCCAGTAATTGTCACACATTGGAGGTACATTTGGATTTCAGAAACACGATTTGGAGGAGCTGTTCTCTCAATATCGCCACATAGCATAGACCTGAATTGCAGGACGTACTTTGGCTTGTCTATTTTAAACACAGAGAACTTGCACAAAATAATAATAATAATAATAATAATGATAATAATAATAATAAACAATAAATGTCAAATTGAAGGATACTCCCCAGCCCCCAAGTACAAGCAATGATTTTGTCTATTGTAAAACATGATAACTGGCTAGAAAACACTGGTTGTGTTCGCTATTGTGCACTTCCTGGGATCATTTACTTATTTACTTTAAAAGGTGTGTGCACCCAGGTGCAGAAAAAGCTGTGCACATGGCAGAAATCGGAAAAGGGTTGGGGAAGGTGGAGAAGGAATGACTAAGGCGGCAGCACACAAAACCCCAACCAACCACCAGGATAGATGAAGGATGTTTGCACACCATACCCTTAAAGTGCATTCAAAGCATAATAGCATAATGTAATGGTTGGAATGTCAGACTAGGATCTGGGAGACCAGGGTTCAAATCCCCCCATGACTATGAAGCTCAATGGGTGACTTTTGGCCATTCATTGGCTCTCAGCCTAATCTACCACCTAGGATTGTTTGGGGGATTAAATGAACACTACCTTGAGGGGAAAAAAAGTTGAGATATAAATGCAATTAAGTAAAGCAGATTCCCCCCCGCAAAGAATCCTGGGAACTGTAGTTTAATCCTCACTCCGCTAAAACTCCCAGCACCCTAAACGGGCTACAATTCCCAGGATTCTTTGAGGGGTGGGGTGTGCTTTAAAAGCAATGGTGTTTGTACACAGCCTGACGCTCTGTGTGTGTGTGTGTGTGTGTGTGTGTGTGTGTGTGCACTGCTGCAAGCAGCAAGTGGACAAATAGCAACAATTATCCGTAGAAAGCTAATATGTCAGAGATGCACATGCGGGGGCGGGGACTGGATCATTTGTTGTCTGGTCTGAACGGATCCAGCCTGGAAAACCAGGTTGTGATATAACGCTGTGTCCATTAGGTGGAGCCATTTTGTAGCTTTTTAAAAAGAGACAAAGGGAAGGAGACCTTGGGGCACCCGTGGCTAATGTCACCTTCCATATGTTACTGAACTACTAACCCAGGGGTCAGAAAACTTTTTCATCAGGGGGCCGGTCCACTGTCCCTCAGGCCTTGTGGGGGGCTGGACTATATTTTAGGCGGGGGGGGGGCGTGAATGAATTTCTATGCCCCACAAATAACCCAGAGATGCATTTTAAATAAAAGCACACATTCTACTCATGTAAAAACACTCTGATTCCCAGACTGTCCGCGGGCCGGATGTAGAAGGCGATTGGGCTGGATCTGGCCCCCGGGCCTTAGGTTGCCTACCCATGTACTAACCCTTGTCTGGGACAAACTGATTGATAAAAAATATTTATATACCACTATTCATTTTATATATATATATATATATATATATATGTATGTATGTATGTATGTATCAGAGCAGATTGCAACAATTGTACACAATACCATACAATAAAACCCATATAGAATCGTTAAAATCAGAAATCAGCCAGCAGCTATTATGGAAATATGTATTCTTAACTGCCTGCATAAGCCTGGCGAAACAGAAAAGTTTCCCGCAGTTGAAACAGAAGGTGCCTGCTGAATCTCTAGTGGCAGGGTATCCCACGGTACAGCACTGGGCCAACAACATGAACTGCTGCAAACATTGGACCGTGGTGGATGTCTCCCTTCCTGAGCCCCAATTATGATTTGAAAGGGAGGCATTGTGCTAGCTTTGTGAGCCCCTGGGCAAGAAGCCCTAAGATAAGAGCCCCTGCTGGATTTGCCAAGAAACCCAGCATTGGCCAGCCTGGTGCCTTGGAGAAAAGCAAGCTATGAACCCAGCAACAGGTGTCCAGAAGTAGATCGCCTTAGAGCCTGGAGGCTTCATATAGCCACTGTGACATCTTCCTCCTCCAGGAAAGTATCTAAACCCCATGTAAAGCGATCTAACCTCTTGGCCATGACCTCTTGGGGCAATGAGTTCGGCGGGTTAATTGCACAATTGGTCAATGAGAACTTGCTTCAGCAGTGCCCTATGGGGCTCTTTCGATTGTCAGCTTTTACATTGGTTGCCTCCTCAGCTGAGAGACAGCATTTGCCAAGGTGGGGAGGCGCCAGTTTTTGGACTACAATCCCATCAGCTCCAGCCAGCCAGCAAGCCATCTGATGCCATGGCTGGTGGGAGTATGGGTGTGCTGACTGGGGCTGATGGGAGTTGTAGTCCAAAACATATGGGAGAAAGAGGTTGGGGAAGGCTATTCAACACCCGCCCAGGCTGCCTTCATCAGCCAGGATGGGCAAGGGTCAAGCAAACAAATTGGTGGTCTTGCGTCCCTGAGAATGGCCCTACACCCGCCAGTTCTTGAGCAGCCCACATCCTTAGGCTGCCCAAGAACTGAGAAGTAAGCATCAAATTAGGAGAAGCAGCTACCAAAGCTTCATCTTGCTCCTTTGCACCAAGAGGACTCAGAAAGTCCCACGTGTGAAGGGTTGTGGCCAGGACTTCCAAGCAATGCTGTGCTGGTCCCGGGGGTAAGGTACCTTGGGTGTAGCAGAGTCCACACGAAGAGGGGCAAGGTCCGAGGCGGAGAGCCGGGCGGGGAACAGGAATGCTGGAACAGGAGGCTGTGCAGGGAACAGGAACACCGGATGGTCGGGAACAGGAGGCCGAGCAGGGAACAGGAGTACCGGATAGTCAGGAACAGGAAGCCGAGCAGGGATCAGGAACACAGGAAGGTCCGAGCCAACAACGACGTTGCTCCCGCAACCTGGGGCCGGGCTGACTGGGCTTTTATCCTCTTCTAAGGCCAGGGGCGGTCCCGGTCCCCAGGAGCCCCGCCTCCTCTGGCCTTAAGGCGAGCACTCCTCCTGGGGGCAACCAGTTCCCTTCGCCTCTCTGCCCTAAGCCTCTGCAGATCAGGAGAGGCCGAAGGGTTACTGGGCCCTGGAGGAGGCTCACCTGTGGCCACTGAGTCATCAAGCCCCTCTGGGGCCCGAAGGGCTTCACCTGGGGCCAGCTCCTGATGCACTGCCACAGGTGCAGGCTCTTCAGCATCAAGGCCTTGCCCCAGTTCAGCCGGCCCTGGAGGCGGGGACTCCTGTGCAGGCCGGGATTCCTCTGTTTCATCCTCCGAATCGGAATCCCAGGCCATCACACCATCCCCCCTCCCAGGCCCCCCCCCCTCAACCGAGGGTCCGGACCCGGCTTGCCGGGATACGTCGCATGGAACTCTCGGAGGCAGGCAGGTGCATGGACATTGGCCGCTGGTTCCCAGGAACGGTCCTCCGGTCCGTACCCCTTCCAGTCAATGAGATACTGCAGCTTCCCCTGCGGTATCGGGAGTCCAGGATGCGTTCCACCTCGTACTCAGGCTCTCCCCGAACCAACACTGGCTGCGGTCGGGGACGGTTCTGGTGGAACTCGTCGGGTGGGGCCACCGGACTCAAAAGGGACCTGTGGAAGACCGGGTGAACCTTCAGGGTTGCGGGTAACCGGAGACGGAATGCCACAGGAGAGATTTGGTCTACGATAGGGAACGGGCCGGTGAAGCGGGCGTCCAACTTCCGCGAAGGTCGAGAGGGGTGGAGGTGGCGAGTGGAGAGCCAAACCAGGTCACCGACGCGAGTTCCGGCCCCACCTGGCGGTGGCGGTCGGCCTGGGCTTTGTACGCTTCCTTGGCCTGGTGCAGTTGCTCCACCAAAAGCTGTTGCTGGGACTGGAGCTCTTGAAGCCACTCCGTCACCGCCGGGACCGCGGATGCCGGCAGCACCTCTGGAAACAGCCGTGGATGATAACCATAACTGGCCTGGAACGGGGTCTGCTGGGTGGACGCATTCACCGCGTTGTTATAGGCGAACTCCGCCAATGCCAGGTGGTCGACCCAGTCATCCTGCTGGTAGCTGCAGTAACACCGGAGGTACTGCTCCAGCACCGCGCTCGCCCGCTCCGTCTGGCCATCGGTCTGTGGGTGGTAGGCTGACGAGAGGCAGACCTCTGTCCCGAGGGTCTGGTGTAATGCTCGCCAGAACCGGGATGTGAACTGAACGCCCGGTCGGACACCACGCGCTCAGGTAGTCCATGCAGGCGGAAGACATGCTGAAGGTACAGCTGAGCAGTTTCCTTGGCTGTGGGTACAGATGGACAGGGAGCGCA